TTTCAAACGTCTGCAATTAAATTAAAGAAGCAATTTAAACAAATGGAATTATCGATTTTTTTAAATGAATGAATTAAGTTAATTGTTACTATGGATTCATTGTCAACAACAAAATTTCAAAAAACAGGTTGCGCGTAAATATGGCGTAATTTATATTTTATTACTTCCCGAGCGTAAGCAAAGGAAGTATTGTACGTAAGCAAAGGAAGTATTGTAAACCCTTAGAAGACGAAGAAATAGGTCTCCCGTTTCCGTTTGTCTGTCCGTCTGTCCGTCTGTCTGCCGTCCCGGATTTTTATTAGACAGATAATCTCCGAAAGTACTGGACCGATTGTTGTTAGATTTTGTATTTATATTAGGTATATCATGTAGATGGTAAAAGGCTAACCAAAATTTGTCTAATCATCCCCACCACTAATGTGATGACGTCACTTCAAAATTGTACATAGTAATTGGGTTTTAAATTGTATCAAATAAGACAGTCTTATACATGTAGTTTATGACTCCGAATTGAGATTTTACCCGAAACATCCACATTTTTGGAAAAAAAATCAAAATTAGGAAACAACATTTTGACATTTAATTTGGAATCTACAAAACCGAATGCTTTGAAATCTTGCGGATGGTTTACAGTTATGATAAGCATGATAAAATTTTAACCACAACATATTTAGTTATCCCCTCCAAAAAATTGATGACATCACCCCAAAATTTTGCTGAATAATCCTATCTAAAATGTACAAAAAATGATGAGTCTCTTCTTGTGATTTATCAATCCATTCATATTTTTTTGGATATGCATATACAGGGTGACCCAAAAAAAAAATGAATGCTTCAATTTATTTTATTGATTTAATCAGGAAGTACAGAACCGAATGCTTTGATATTTTGCAAATGTTTTAAGGTTATAAAGAGCATAATAAATTTTTAGTTAAAATATATTAGCTTATCCCCTCCAAAAAATTGATGACGTCAGCTCAAAAACTTGCCGAATAAATCCTATCCAGAATGTGCAAAATATGATGAGTCTGTACTTGTAATTTATCATCCCATTCATATTTTTTGAATTTGCATATACCGGGTGACAAAAGAAATAATGAATGCGTAAATTTATTTTATTAATTTACTCAGGAACTGCAAAACCGAATGCTTTAAAATCTACTGCGAAAAAAAACATAATAGACTTGCAGTCGTCACGTTTCCGACAGCGAGAGAAGTACTGTCTAAGTGTCTAAACTCTTTAGACCAATTTTTACTTCCCGAGCGTAAGCAAAGGAAGTATTGTAATCGAGTCCGTCGGCCGACTCTCTACTTTTACGTTTTCTCGATCTTTCATGACCCCTAGAAGACGAAGAAATAGGTCTCCCATTTCCGTCTGTCTGTCCGTCTGTCCGTCCGTCTGTCCGTCTGTCCGTCTGCCCCTGGATTTTTATTAGACAGATAATCTCCGAAAGTACTCGACCGATTGTTGTGAAATTTTGTACTTATATTAAGAATATCATGTAGATGGTAAAACGCTAACCAAAATTTGTCTAATCATCCCCACCACTAATGCGATGACGTCACTTCAAAATTGTACATAGTAAATGGGTTTTCAATTGTATAAAATAACATAGTCCTACACATGTAGTTTACAACTCTGAATCGACTTTTCACCCGAAACGTCCAGATTTTTGGAAAAAAAAATCAAAATTATAAAACAACATTTTGAAATTTAATTTTTAATCTGCTAACCAGAATGCTTTGAAATGTTGCAGATGTTTTAAGGCTATAAAGAGCATCATAAATCTTTAGTCGAAAAATATTTGCTTATCCCCTCCAAAAACTTGATGACGTCAGCTCAAAAGTTTGTGGAATAAATCATATCTAAAATGCACAAAATATGATGAGTCTGTACTTGTGATCTATCACTCCATTCATATTTTTTGGATTTGCATATACAGAGTGACTCAAAAAAATTAATGAATGCGTAAATATATTTTATTGATTTAATCAGGAACTACAAAACCGAATGCTCTGAAATCTTGCAGATGTTTTAAGGTCATAAAGAGCATAATAAATGTTTAGTCAAAATATATTTGCTTATCCCCTCCAAAAACTTGATGACGTCAGCTCGAAAATTTGCCGAATAAATCATATCTAAAATGTACAAAATATGATCAGTCTGTACTTGTGATCTATCACTCCATTCATATTTTTTGGATTTGCATATACAGGGTGATTCAAGAAAATAAATGAAAGCGTAAATTTATTTTACTGATTTACTCAGGAACTACAAAACCGAATGCTTCGAAATCTTGAAGATATTTTAAAATTATCATAAGCATGGTAAATTTTTGATCAAAACGTATTTGGTCGTCCCCCCTAAAAAATTTATGACGTCACCACAAAATTTTGCTGAATAAATCCTATCTAAAATGTACAAAATATGGTGAGTCTCTTCTTGTGATTTATCATTCCATTCAAATTTTTTCGATTTGCATATACATGGTGACTCAAAAAAATTAATGAATGCGTAAATTTATTTTATTGATTTAATCAGGAACTACAAAACCGAATGCTTTGAAATCTTGCAGATGTTTTAAGGTTATAAAGAGCATAATAAATTTTTAGTCAAAATATATTTCGTTATCTTCTACAAAAAACTGATGACGTCAGCTCAAAAGTTTGCCGAATAAATCGTATCTAAAATGTACAAAATATGATGAGTTTGTACTTGTGATTTATCATTCCATTCATATTTTTGGATTTGCATATGCAGGGTGACTCAAAAAAATTAATGAATGCGTGAATTTATTTTATTTTATCGATTTAATCAGGAATTACAAAACCGAATGCTTTAAAATCTTGGGAATATTTTAAAGTTATTATAAGCATGGTAAACTTTTGTTCAAAATGTATTTGTTCATCCCTCCTAAAAAAATTGATGACGTCACCCTTAAATTTTGCTGAATAAATCCTATCTAAAATGCAAAAAATATGATGAGGTTGTACTTGTGATTTATCATTCCATTCATATTTTTTAGATTTTCTTAAGAGGTGGTTCAAAAAAATTAATGAAGTCAATTTATTTTATTGATTAAATTAAAGGCAACACTTATTATTAGTACTACACCCCAACCAACCCAATTTGGTAGACACAAAATTTGTTAAAGGAAAAACTCGGTTGAAACATAAGGGTAGCACGCTTATTTACATCGACTTTAACATTACAGACCTGCATTTGTTTTATGCGTTCACTTGGTTCCGCGAATGTGAAATAGACATGTTTATAATCAACCAATTGTGAATTTCACCGTCAAGAATTAAAATAAAACCCAATGTTTTATATAATAAGCGGAAGTCGAAGCAATAAAACCGATGGTCGTTTTGTTTACAGTTTCTCTGTTTGACTCTCACGTATGCTGTTACGCCTGTCATCTTAAATTAAGAATGTTTATACATACACGATTTTCAGTTGCCTCTGATACGTATACGTGAGTAAATTGTTTCGTTATTTTATTGATTATTACAAATCAATATTCAAAACGACCCAATTCATTTTCCCGAAAATTTGAGAATATAATAATTTTATTCTTAGTATTACACTACATCTATCCCAACTGATATACGTGTCCTTGCAAAAATGTTGATGACGTCATCGCAATTTTTTTTTAAATTCCCACTACAAAAATGTAATGAGAAAAAAAACACAATAGGCATGCAGTCGTCAAGTTTCCGACAGCGAGGGAAGTACTGTCTAAACTCTTTAGACCAATTTTTTGACTTTACTTTAATCTGCTAAGGTTTTTGTACACAGTGTATAAAAAATGGCGCACTAACAGAGCACCACGCACTAGAACGGACTACAGTCATCACCAGAAAAATATTTAAAAAATTCTAAAGCACTTATTTTTTTATCTACTGCTGGTTTTTAATTGAAAAAGTAAATTAATTAAAAATCTATTCATTTGATGTTCTTTAAAATTACCTTAAATCATACATATTATCACAAAAAACAAGATTACTCACTGAGAACATCTGACCTTTAAAAATAAAGAATCTACAGGATCCTTAAAATCCTTGAAATTAGCTGTAACTAACAGTGGCAACATTGGAAGGTAATGATCTCCTTTCCTTTGCCTGGGTGTCTTACCATGGTCATGATATTAAACAAACAATGGAAACAAAATAACGAAATGTTATTAAGTAACCCGAGAACACCTACCCGATAATCTGTATTTTGAAGATAAGCGAAGAAAAATGTTGCCGCCTCGGTAAGAATCGAACCACACGTCACCCGCTTGCCGGGCAGGTAAGCGGGTGACGTGTGACTAGGACCACTAAACCACGAAGCCACTTATCTTTCTCAGCTTTCCAACGTGTTATTGTGCCGCCACAATTTTAGACAATCCGCTAATTTGATGATGTCACAGTAGGGCTAGGGGTTTTTAAACTGGCGACCTTACTAACATCGTGACTTTGGCGTGTAAAAATAATTTCTAATGTAATTAGATCGACAGTTCGAATAATGACAGGTAGTCTAGAGATGAGAACAATTACAGAATCGACAGAACGAGTCTGGCACTCTCAGATATGCGATGTACAATGTTAGCTAGGCAGACAGCCAGACGGCAACAGCAGATTTATTTTTTCGTACTCTTGGGGTCATGGGACGTCGAGAAAACATAAAAATGGCCATTCGACCAGTGGATCAATTACAATAATTCCTTAGCTTAAGCTCGAGAAATAAAAATTAATTTTTGCCTAACAAATAATAAAGTGGTGATTCACCTCGAACCAAAATTTATTTTATTTTTGTTATATAGATATTTAAGTAATTCATCACCAACACATTTTCCTTTAGAATTTAATTTTCCCGGAAATAATTTCATCGTATTTCTCTTTGGTAAGTATGACATACTTCTTTTCTACCACATCAAACACATACAGCGGATCTTCGTTTTTTTCAATATCAAAACCTTGTCTTCGTAAATGCACTTTTTGTAATTTGAACGTACCAGTCACCGGTATGTGCTGCACCACTCTTACGAAGAGCGGAATAGCATAAGAAGGAAGATTAACTTTCAAATCTTTGTAGAATTTTTCCATGTTTAACGATCGACTGCTGTCTATCAAGGCTACCATACCAGCTCGACCTTCGACACCGGGAACCTTAAAACAACGTGTAAGTTTAAATTTGAAAAATCTATGTAGTTATTTACCTCTACTCCGTAAACGATGACATCGTTTAGATTTAGGAGGTTAGTTATGACTGACTCTATTTCTGTAGTGGATACGTTTTCTCCTTTCCATCTGAAAGCACAATATCATTATATTTATGTAGAATTACTACTATTAGAAGCATAATGATAATCTCATTCAGTTTTTAGGTATATGTTAACAAACAAAACATAGAAAAATAAGTGAGGTCAGAGTAGTGTAGGTCACTTTTCAAGTGATGCGCACATAAATATCAGTAGTTACGCTAGGTTTTTGGGGATGAGGTGAAATTAGAGAAAAATAGTAGACGAATTTGTTTGCTGTAATTCTAAGATCTCGAAAATTATTTTATAATAATAATGCTAATTTATTATTTTATTAAATTTAGTTTCCAACAGGCCGAGGCCCAAATATTATAGGAAACGGGACGTAAAGTTCAACTATCGCTATTTGGAGGTGACTTCACTGGGGATTAAAGACTAATTAGCACTTGGGATGCTAGACTTGCTTAGACCCTGTTGTAAATGTGTCCATCAAGACGACAGTCTGCAGGGTCGGACCGGGCCACCGTGGCCCGCAGCGTACCGTTTCTTTTCACTGAAATAGTAATCCGAGCAATGACCATGTAATAATCCGAATATCAATAGAAATAGTTCTCTTGAAAATAACCAGTCTAAGTAATAAATCATCCCAAGTGCTAAATAAGCTTCAATCCCCAGTGAAGTCACCTTCAAATAGCGATAGTCAAACTTTACACAAACACCCACAGTCAGGGCGGGAATCGAACCCACGATCCAAGGTATAGCGGGCAGGTGCGAGGCCACTGACCCACCCGTGTCCTCTATTTACTTTCCCACCCACTTTAAATAACAACATAAAAAATGGAATTTTTATTTTTCCTACCTGAAAGTATCCCCCGTTCTATCTTTAAAGTAAAAATAGCCCGAATCATCCTGGACTAGAATATCTCCCGAATTTACGTAAGCATCCCCTACTTTAAAGACGTTTCTGAGTATTTTTTTTTCGGTATCCCTTTCATCTAAATATCCAACGAAACCAGAAGAATTGTCTTTAACATCCATCTTTCCTATTAATACTCCAGGTTCTCCAGTCTTGCACACTTGGTAAAAGCCATCGCTTCCTCTCAAGGGTAAACTTGTGTCTTCGTCAAACTTAATCAATTTGATTGGTGACATAAATGAAGCCCATCTAGGAAAAAAACCTACAGCACCTACTTTGTTGTGAGTATTTACTAAAAGATTTGGAGTTATTAATGGTAAGAAAACTGTCCGATAAAATCACTTAAAAACACATTTCCGTCTGTAGCTGTATAAAACTCGTACACATATTTAATATTAAATTTGGTGACAAATTCCTTCCAGATTTGTGGGCGGAGACCGTTACCAGTAATTGTTTTAAGGTGGTGATGTATATGAAATTCTGTACCGGCTCGTGACGCTAGTAGGTATCGACAAATTTCGCCTATATATTGAAATATCTGTAAACGAAACGTATTTAATTTGCTCATTTCGTGGGATAACATTTTGTCTTCGACAGGGTATTTTGTCCTAACCGTTCGATAATTTTTTTTTTAATTATTTGCTCAACTGGCTGGAATCCAACACCCTGTGCGTTCTTCAACGAATGAAATTACCGTGCATTTGTATTTATAACAGTCTTTCCAGAAATTTGAAGCAGAAAATTTTTTTCGCATTGCTAAAGCAGAACCATATAAGAAGCAACACACTATCGGGACTGAACCAGCACTGTGATATATAGGCAAGCACACATAAAAAATATCTTCAGAACTTAGTTTCGTAAAAGTCTTTATGGCAAAAGTAAAACTCATTGCTCTTTTATTTGTAATAATTGTTGGTTTAGGCAGACCTGTAGTACCTGAAGTGTAAATCAACATTAACTTATCCGTAATTTTTCCGTTTGCTAATTCTTCTGTCGGAGAAGATTCTGACTGCATTTTCAGCTCCAGTGTTAAATCCCTAGAACCATCTAACACACCTGTCTTTTCGTTTCCGTCGAGCAACTGATAAAGTTTTATACCAGGTATTTTTCCAGTGATATTACTGATAGCTATAAAGTTAAAACTTGTTTCACAGAAGAAACCCAGAAAACTAGATTACCTTTATTCAAAGTGGATCCGTAAATTATTCCTGTCACTTTTGCACTCTTCAAAGCGTGAATCAAAACATCTCCAGTAAGATTTGTATTGATAAAAGCCGAAATTACGCCGAGTTTACTTAAACCAAGCCATACGCATGGATATTTAGGACTATTTTCGTGAAAAAGCGCCACAGTGTCTTCTCTTTGATAACCTTCTTGTTTAAAGAAATTAGCTATTTTGTTACTATACACTTCTACCTGAAATTGATATAAGCGTATTGTTATCCTTGAAAATGACTAGATTATTTTTACGTCTAAAAATGTCCACTGTTCATCTTCAAAATAAAAAATAACTTTACTCGGATGCTTCGTTGCAAGGCTAGTAAAAATTTGGGCCACCGTCCCTTTTTTCTCGAATGTCCGAAATCGACGTTTGAGTAAAATGATTCTTGATAAAAACCTGGGAAAAGTAATTTTTGATTAATGAACGCGAACAAAAATGTAACGACTTACTTTGAATCCCGCAACAAAATTTTCAAACCATTTTTTAATTTTGCTTTGTAGAGGAACAAAACTGCTACTAGTGAAATTAAGATTAAGAACTAAAAGATCTTTGAGTTAAAACAAAAAATGTGTAAAATGTGTACATACCATTTTTTAATGAATTTCGACCTCTCGACTTTTTTTTTGTTTGTCGCGTCGGTTAACTAAATTAAAAACGACTGGAATAGTTTTTATATACCTTTAGTAAAGTTGTTTACAACTAATAAAAACTGTCGATATGCCGACAAAAAATGTTTGAAGGTTAACACAGAAATTATGCTGCTAACAGACATATTATCGAATATGACTGTCACTTGCTTATTGTTTTAATAAGAGAAACTATCTTTGCGTAGCTATTAATTTTCTAGTCATCTTCAGATATCCCATGCACGATCTTCATTAATCTAAATTATATCTTGGTTAAAGAAAACTTCCATTTTAAAGCAAATTTACTTTAAATGTACTGAATTAATTTTAAAATGCATATTATTAAATATTTAAATGAACAACTGCTGAACCCATAAAACATTGTTATCAACGGTAAACAATACATTATAAATTCTAGAACACACGTATATTACGAAAATTTGTGCATAGTTGATTTTCTATGTGCATAGATCAAAATAACTGCGTTTAATTATAACACTGATTTGCTATTATTTATTTTACACATGATACCATTAGTTATTGATGTTAAAATTTAATCTTCCCAGTCAAAATATCATCATACATCTTTTCATTTAGATCCACGAAGGACTTTTTGTTCACATCATACACAAACATCTTGTCTTTGATTTTTCCAACATCGAAACCTTCCCTTTGCAAATCTACCTTCAATAGTTTGAAAGTACCAGTTAATGATACAGATCTCACCACTCTTACAAACAGTGGAATACAATACATAGGAAGATAATGGTTCAAATTATCATAAAAATTGTTCACGTTAAATGACTGTGTACGATCTATCAAAGCTACCATTCCAGCTCTACCTTCATGGAATGGTACCTAAAAGCAAGTTTTGGAGTGCTGATATACCTACACTGAGTTGATACAAGACGCTTTACCTTTACACCGTAAACCACTGCGTCTTCAAGATTGAGAAGATTGCTTATTACAGCCTCTACTTCGGAAGTTGATACATTTTCTCCTTTCCATCTACAAATGCAATACACAGTGACAATTTGATTTTGTTTCGTTAAACTAGAAGCACTTGACGCTGTAAATCTGCTGTTCTCACCTGAAGGTATCTCCTGTTCTATCTCTAAAATAAAAATAGCCTGACTCATCCTGAACCAGAATGTCCCCCGAATTAAAGTAGACACCACCAGTTCTGAAAACACTCCTCAACAGTTTTTTTTCAGTATCTGTTTTATCTTGATATCCAAAAAAACCAGTCATATTATTTTTAAAATCGATATTCCCTATCAACAATCCAGGCTCTCCAGTCTTACATAACTGATAAAATCCATCACTTCCTTGGATCGGCGCTCCTGTTTCTTCGTCACATTTGATCAGTTTAACTGGTGAAATAAATGAAGCCCATCTGGGAAAAAAACCCACCGCTCCAACTTTGTTTTCAGTGTTTACTGAAAAGCTATTTATTATTATATGTATAAAAAAATGTTGGACATGGTTACTTATGGTCGTGTTTCCGTCAATGGATCCATAAACCTCAAATACTTGTTTGATATTAAACTTGCGGACAAACTTTTCCCAAATTTGTGGTCGAAGACCATTACCCATAATTTTTTTAACATGGTGTTGGACGTGGAACTCGGTGTCGTTATGTGCTGCCAGTATATAACGACATATTTCGCCTACGTACTGGAATACCTGAAAAAGAGCACAAAGTAACCAAAAGAAAGAGTAGCAGTGAAAAGACACAACTGCATACTGTCGGAAAAAGTGGGATAAGACTATTCGAAAACTATAAGATTTTACTGATACTATAACTCAAAAATCACCCTGCATACGTTTATTTAATATTTATTTGAGAATAGAGAGCAACCCAATAAAATTAATTACCGTGCACTTGTATTTGACGCAGTCGTTCCAGAAGTTTGATGCAGAAAATTTCTTTTTTATCACTACAGATAGACCAAATAAGAAACACCAAGTTATTCCAGCTGCAGCTGAGCCGTGGTAAAAAGGCAAGCAGGTATATACGATATCGTCTGAACTCAATTTTGCAAAAGTACTTGCTCCAACATTTACGAATATAATTCTTTTATTTGTAAGCACAGTTGCTTTGGGCAACCCTGTAGTACCTGAAGTGTATATCAAAAGTAACTTGTCTGTAAGTTTTCCATTGTTTATGTCTTCCGTGGGGGAAGATTCCGATTGTGTTTTGAGTTTTGTTGTTAGATCTACAGCACCTCTTAACAAATTACAGGTTTCAATTTTGTCATTCAATTGATAAAGTTTTATGTTTGGTATTTTTTCAGCGATGATTCCAATTACTAAAAGATTAAAACTTACAACTTGAAACAAGCATGAAAACTTACAACTTGAAACAAGCATGAAAACTTACCATTTTTCAAAGTAGAACTATAAATTATTCCTCCAACTTTTGCAGTTTTGATAGAATGTAGCAGAACCTCGCCAGTTAGATTTGTATTGATAAGCGCAGAAACTACCCCAATTTTTCCTAAACCGAGCCAAATGCATCCATACTCGGGTCTATTTTCTAGAAAAAGAGCCACAATCTCGTTTCTTGAGTATCCTTCTTTTTTGAAAAAGTGTGCAATTTTGTTACTATATATTTCCACCTGAAACGTATTAAATATTAAAATTGTTAGCCTTATTTGGGATAATTAACGTCTAAGAATGTCCACTTTTGCTCTTCAAAATAAAAAGCCACGTTGTGAGAATGTTTGGAAAGAATACTGGTGAAAATTTTAGCTACCGTTTCCTTCTTTTCTAGTGATCTGAAGCGAATTTTGAATAGTAGGACATTTGTGATGAATCTGCAAATAAAAGGATGACAAAAGGGCGAAATTGTGAGTGAATCCTTACTTGAGGTCCCGAGTGAAAATTTGGAAAGCACTTTTACAGTAGTCACTACAAAAGAGAAAAAGTACCAGGGGTACAACTAGCAAGACTGTAAGCATCTGCAACATTTTTTTATTTATTAAATACACAGAAAGCACATTTGGGTACTCACCATTGCTAGTAATTTTTTATTTTATGCGTTGTAGTGTGCACTGTGTGATCTAAAATAAGGAAAAAAACAGATTAAGAAAAATCGTGCCCCCGATTATTTTGCAAAAGTTTGCACAATAAGTGTTTATAATAAGTAACTGATTCTATATCGCGGCAACTATTTATTACTCCATATAATTATGCATTAACAAGTTTTAATGAGTGTGGACTTCTGATACAGTATGTTTTTATAATTACTTCTTGAATATTAGGCTTTAAAAAATAGCTATTTATGGTATAAGTAAATAAAAACGAATTTTATCCAACAAAAAAACAGTTTAGCACACGAGGCGAAGCCGAGTGTGATAATGTTTTCGAGTGGATAAAATTCGTTTATTCACGTGTATCATACAAGATTTTTTCCAATTTCGGAAAATTTTTCAAAAAATTTATTATTTAGGTAATCCATATACATAAGTATTAATTGTACTATTACTAATATGATGAACATTTAAAGAAGGTAAATTGCCAAAGTTGCCTGTACTTTCGTTACGGTCAAATTCAAAGGATGTTCCTGGCGTTTCATAAGGATTGTTTTACAGGAGCTGGACCATCAAGCGTTGCAAATTTTAGTTGAATATGTTTACACATCCATAGCAACGAAAATTTCAGTGGTAGTGCGAATTTTTAGTTTTTTTACTTTATTCGTGTTGTCAATGTGAATAAACATTTTATTCATCCTTTCGATTAAACTATCATTTTAATAGCGAGATTTAACATACAAAATCAGCATTTTATTAGTAGAAATTCGAAAGAAATAATTATATTATTAAGCATACATAATGTTCCATTTATTCATCTCATGTCCAGTGAAACGCCAATACAGTGGTTAGTTTTATTATAACCTTAAATAGATTTTTTTGTGATAGTTTAATAAATCTCTCAGTTCAAATGAAACATTCTGTATATTAAAAATATTTATAATACCTGTAAATAAGAACACTTCTAAATATAAATAACTGAATTCACCTTGTGTGCAACAAAATTTATATATATTACGAGACATTAATACCTTTTTTATTTTCTTAATCAGTTTTCTTATTAATTATAACATACCAAACTCGTTTTTCTGGTTATTAATAATGCATAGACAGTTGGCGTTATTTCGATTAAAAATAAACAATCTGCACACGTACGAACCCTGATACCTGTTTGTCTTAAAGTTAATTAATTAACACCGACCAACAAATTAGCATTGAATTTATCATGGTCGAAACTTTTTGGAAATACAAAACTTTCATGATAATAGTTTAAAAAGCAATTAAATGTTATTTCAAATGCCATTGTACTTGTGATCTGTTCTGCAGTTGCTTCAGATACTCATTTCTAAAATTTAATACTGGTACTTCAGAAGTTTGTACGTTTTTAAACTTTCCATTTTTAACTAATACAACAAATGTAAATCAAAATAAACGATACTATTTACGTTTTATTACTATTTTAATCAAAATATAACAATTCACACAAATTTTATAATCACAGTCTAATATTCCCCGTAATGAGACCTTCATAAATATTCGGTGTTAATTCAACGTAAGTACTATTTATCGCGTCATAGATGAACAATTCGTCTTGGATTTTTTCCACATTGAAACCTTCTTTTCGCAAGTCGACTTTCATTAGTTTGAAGGTACCGGTCAATGGAACCGATTTCATAACTCTCACAAATAGCGGAACGGCATACGATGGGAGGTTCATTTTTAGATTTTCACAAAATTTCTTCATATCAAGTGTTCTGGTCGTTGGTACTATCGCTACCATACCAGCCTTGCCCTCAGTTCCTGGTACCTTGAGAAAAATTACGTTTAATAAGTAAGTATAATAAAATATAAAGTTTAAAACAGTACTTCTACGCCGTATACCACAGCATCACTCAAATTTAGAATTTTGCTAATTACTGCTTCGACTTCGGAGGTAGCTACATTTTCTCCCTTCCACCTACAAATAGCAAAAAAGTAATACCATAATACCAGAAATACTATATATTAAGTATATAGTGAGAATGTGCACTAAAAATTGCAAAACGTATGAACTTTTTTAAAAATAGTAGCCTTCAATATTTACGAGGATTTGCATGTTTTATGATTTTGCGATGCGCACGTGTGTATAGATATATGTATGTATAAATATTTTGTAATTTCTTTTTGTGCCCTTGTCTAATCTTTTATAACACTGTATACCAAAGTGTTCTTACCTAAATGTGTCGCCCATTCTGTCCCTAAAGTAGAAGTAACCCATCTCATCCTGAACTAGAATATCCCCCGAATCAAAATAAACATCGCCATTTACAAAAACATTTTGAAGCAACTTCTTTTCATTGGCTTTTTTGTTGACGTACCCATCGAAACGACCCATCTGTTTCCTGAAACTAACTTTTCCAATAAAAAGTCCGGGTTCTCCAGGTTTACAAGGTTGGTAATAGCCATCTGAGCCTCTGATTGGTTCGGCGGTTGACATGTTGCACTTAATTATTGACACAGGATGAAAAAGTTTGGCCCATGTTGGAATGTACCCCACGGCACCGGATTTGTTATCAATGTTCACTAAAAATTACAGAAGAAAGATATGATATTGTGGAATAGAAATAATTACTTAAGTTTGTGTTGCCTTCAGTGGAGCCGTAGAATTCGTAAACCTCCTTGATATTAAATTTAGAAACAAAGTGATTCCAAATTTGCGGTCTTAACCCAAGACCAATCAATTTTGTGACGGAATGGCGAATAGGGGTATCGTTTTTACTGTGCTCTGAGAGTAAGTAACGGCAGATTTCTCCAATGTAGAAAGCTGACTGAAAGAAGTTCAAGTTAATTGTCTGAATACTTCATATGAGGTCACATCCAAAGAATGTAAACTTATACGTAAACAAATTAAAGCACAATACAATAGTCTAGCGGCAATGAGGACGTCTCTAAGACTTCACTCTCTGGGAGTATGGAACAAGCAATATTGACGGAGGCGTTCAACAGAATACCCTTGTTAAGGATGGGTTGTGACCGAATGGGCACAAAATTAATATATGAAAAAACATATAGAATATCAATGAATGATAATTCAGAAGGACGAATCGACATCGATATCTATGTCGATGGTGCCAAAACTGATAGTGGTTCAGGAGCTGGCATCTACTCCGAACAAGTGAACGCACAGTGTCCTCTCGGCATCCACACGTCTGTCTTACAAACAGACTGATGGGAATAATGCTGGGAGCTAGAATCATTGCTGAACGTGAAATCGGCAACAAATCAATACGCATACTAACTGACAGCAAGTCTACACTACTAGCCCTGGACAGCTGCATGGTTAGATCCGGGCTGGTTTGGGAGTGCAGATAAACGCTAAGGTATGTAACGCAGAGGAATAGTGTAGAACTTTGTTAGATCAAAGGACACAGTGATAACAAAGGAAATGAAAGGGCAGATGAGATGACAGCTTGTATGGCGACACCAGACTTTAAGTTGACGAAATTGTACATGCGATAGGAGTGGTAACAGACCCAATCTGTCGTGGATGCAATGAAGAAGAGCAAACAGCTGAGCACATTCTTCGTGAGTGTCCAGCCCTAGCCTCTGACACGAAATCCAGACTGGGGGACGTCTGGCCTAGTATGGCAAAAATCAGGGAGTTTCCACTCTCTGCATTATTCAAGTACATTCAAGCAGTTGGGTGGCTTGACGAGTAGAGAGCGGGAAAACACCCTGATATGGACTTGGGGAAGGTACAATGGGCCCAAAGACGAGGCCTAAGTGCCGGCTGGCTACGGTCAGCCCCCATAAATTAAGAATCCAGAATCCAGAATAGTATATTGTTCAACGAGTGGTAAAGTTGGTCATTCCACCAGGACAAGAGATTCCGGAACGAGCCAAAGGCGAGTAGAACAACTCATCCGAGTGGAATGACCAATTTCTCACGAGTTTAACACTATAGTTTTTCTACTCATATAATCAGGAAAATAAAGAAAAAAAAAATAAGAATTATTTTTTCTCAATATGAGGAGAAAAATACAATTCTATTTCTTTTCAACGAAAGATTAAAAATTAAAATCGCCCTAAAAAATTTTAAATCCCATTAACATCCCCTACTAACAATTTTCAGAATATGTTTTAAATGTTTGTTCGGATGTACGAGCATTACATATTGGCTAAACAGACTGGACAATAAACTATGGTTATTAGTTATTACCTAAAAAACTAAAAATGTACAAAATTTTCAAAAACAAATTTAAATGTACATTTTTCAAATTAACAAAGTTTGTGCTACAAAGTTGAAAAATTGTGTAGTTATTTATTATCTAAATATATGTTAATAACCATAGAAATAATTACGGTTGCATATTAATTGAACGGGTACAATTGTACAAAGGTTAAATGTATTGAACATTGTTTGTAAATACTTACTTCTGAAAAAATGACCTTTTTCTATTTACTTGATTTACTTTATTTCGAGCTACTGTTACTTTTTACAAAAAAAAAGCAAATTATAAACTCATATACCTATGCAGGACTTTTCTGGCTTCTAATTTAATAGTTTGTTAAAATAACACTTTTGACATTTTAATGGAGACAAATTTTGCTATCTGCAGAAAGATTCGTGTGTTTATTTTTTTTAAGATAATATTAAAATTCTAATCTTCTTGAGATATTTATATTGTGTACGCAGTATAACAAATTTTTATACTGCGTACACATATTCATTTAATGAATATGATTGTAGCCAACTGATAATTTTAAAAATTAGAATAAAATATACATGAATCTTATGTACAAGATGTCCCAACCGTGGTCCCAACCTTTATATCAGGGCAAATTAGGTCGGGTCAGGTTAGGTCTGGAAAATAAACAGTTTTGTAGACATTCAAAAGTAAAATTTGAGGATAGTTTTAAAAATCTACGATTTCATATGGAACAGTTTTTTCTGAACTAAAAATAGCTCCACCTCTTTAAATTATCATACCTCTTGTCAAAAACTTATCCTTGTTTGATTAATGAAAGAATAACCTTCCAAACGGAAATTTTAAATTTATTAGGGGTTGCAAACTAGGAAATGACTTTTAAAATTAGTGGTAAATGTCTTCAAGACTACGATTAATAAATGAATTCCAACAACAGATGTAGAAGACTTACAATATGTGACAAAAAAGCGTATTTTATTACTCAATAAAATTTTTAATTTAATTGTTTAACTTGGGATACTAAAAAAAATTGCAATTTTCCGAATGCTATTCTATTAGTAATCAACGATGACCCTGTATATATTTGTGTTAAGCAAATTATTACCAATTATTATTATTAATTATTAAAATCCTCAAAATAATTTATACTAATTTTTCAAAAAATACTTTACGCATAATTATAAATAGGAGTAATTTTTATTAAATAAGATTTAGATAAAATTTAGGTACCTATAATGTCGTCAAGTGTCACCACTGACGTAAGTAAGCGTCATAATAAGTAGAGCAGATATTTAAAAAATCACCCGGTATTACTATGATAAAATACTTACAGTACATTTATATTTAATGCAGTCTTTCCAAAAGTTCGAAGCCGAAAACTTTTTCCTCACCGCTACTGTAGTACCGCCTATCAGACATTGGCCAACTCCCCCAATACCACCAGCACTATGGTACAAAGGTAAGGAAACATATAAAACATCGTATTCTTTTAGTTGTGACATAGCACGTAGACCAACAGTCATGAAAATAAACTTCGCATTTGTCAGAATCGCAGCTTTAGGCAAACCCGTCGTACCAGAAGTATAAATAAAAATTAATTTGTCTTTGTTTTTTCCTTTTTTAATTTCTTCAGTGGGAGAAACCTCGGACTCTTTTTTTAACCGAAAATTTATATTTTCTGCACCATCCAGCACTAATGAATTTTGACCGTTTTCAAAAAATTCATAAAGTTCCAAGTGTGATATTTTTCCAGAAATATTTCTGACAGCTAAAAGAGTCATAAGATAACTTACACACACAAAAATTGTAATCATACCCTGTTTTAACGTGGATCCATAAATCAAACATTTAGGATCCACCGTCCTGATGGAATGTAATAGCGGGTCTTCGACAAGGTTGGTGTTGATAAGGGCTGTAACGACACCGATTTTATTTAGACCCAACCAAAAGCACACAAACTCTGGGCTATTTTCTAGAAAAAGACCCGTAACATGTCCTCGTTGGTAACCTCTCTTTTTGAAAAAGTTTGCGACTTTGTTGCTGAAATTTTCCACCTAGAAGGCTACATCAGTTTCTGTTTTCTATTTTTTTTTTAAGTTTTACTTGACGAAATGTCCATGTTTGATCTTCGAAATAAAAAGCTATTTTATCTCGGTGTTTGAGGGCAAGCCTTGTAAAAATTTTGGGCACCGTTTCCTGTTTAAACCGACACACCTCGAGCTGAATCCCAAGCGAAGCGCCCCGTTTAATGAGCCTGCATTCAAGATTTTTTATTATTCGCAGAATTAATAAAAATGCTTGTAGAGTGAAGAAAAGTCGGTATAAACTAAATACTAATGTATCAAAATGTTCCATTAATTGTTATGAACCGACGTAATATTTTTTAAATGGAACGTTACATTTTTACAGATTTACATCTTTATGAAAAAAATAAATAAATAAAAAGACTAAATCAACAATTGTCTTAGGTACATTACAAGAGCTTTTTGAACAACGTATTTATATTATCTTAACTTTTCTTAGAAATTCAAATTGCGAAATATTTGTTTTTACAAAAAACTAGATGTCTGGAGGTAAAAAATCAAAGCGGATTCATAAACAGAATAAATTCAATTTTTAGTGGGGATTATCAGACAAATTTTGGTTAGCGTTTTACCATTACATAGTATTCATAAAATATTACATATAAAATTTCAGAATAACCAGTTTTATAGTTTTGGAGTTTTATAGTTTTGGAGACTTTAACAAGACTGCCAATAGATTTTTTCATACTTTAGGAATCATAAAATGTCGAGAAAACATGACGTATTTCCTTTGTTTACATTCGAAAGGTAATAAAAAATATATTTCAAAATCTTTTAAAAGAAAAAATAATAAATAACGCATGAGTATCACTACAATTACAGTGACGCACATCGGTGAACTTTTCCATGATTTTTAGAATTTTATATACATGTTTTTGTCTTGATACCATGCGTCCTACAAATACTTTGTTTATTGGTTTATTGTTTAAATAACGATTTCAACAAAACTTGTAGATATTTATAAAAGGTTAAAGCACTGTGATACATTTATGTGTGTTTATAGTGCGCCAAAGAAATTTTGCTTTCAACGTCAGGAAAGAATTTAAGAAAACCGAAAAAAAGCCTGAGAAATAGATATAAAAATAAAGTACACAAACGGTATTCCTAATGTTATTAAAATTAACGAGGCATGAGTATTTTACAGATAAGTGGTTACAGTGTATATATATATCGTCTAATGGGCAAAAAGGTCGGGATACATTGATAGCAGTAAATCACAAATATGCTGTAGACACGATAATGTGTGAATCTCCGTACCCTGAAATTGTTTTATTGATAGTTAAAATAATAATATGTAGAGTTCATATCTTGATCATTAATCTCTACTTTCCACCTGCAACAAGTGCGGATTTGTGTGAAGCGATATTCGAATTTTTAGAAACATCCTACAACTTGAATAACAATTGCATCATCATTGGAGATTTTAATATTCCAGAATTCGAGGCTTGCCTTGAGTCAACAACTAACAACTATTTTTACTATTTTTATGTCCATTATAAACTATCTCAATCTGAAACAAAACAACCGCATACTAAATAGTAACTCAAGAATTTTGGACCTTGTTCTTTGCTCCGAGAATGTTACATGTTTGGTTGCACGAAATAATTTAGCTCTTGTTAAAGAAGACGGCCGTCATCTATCTTTATTCTCATTTTCTCTTAACTTTTTTGAGAGTGTAGTACCTGAAACCACTACTCCGACATATAATTTCAGAACAGATGACTTACCAAACTTCTATCAAGCAATTAATAATTGAAATTGGAACGACGTTCTTCTTGGTCAAAACACTGAACAGGTATGCAGGGTTCTTCAACAATTTGACATTTATGTTCCGAAAAGCTAAAAATCAAACAAGAAATACCCTATTTGGTTTACAACAGAGATTATCAGTTTGTTAATTAAAAAGCAACACCATTGGAAATTATTTAAAAAATGCGGTCTGTTACATCATAAAGATACAACAAAGAAGCTGAGTAGCGAGTTACGGTCGTTAATACGATTTGAATTTAACCTATTTGTTACACGTTCTCAGACTGATATGAAAACTAATCCATCAAAATTCTGGGCATAAGTCAATTCTAAAAATCAAACATCAAGAATTCCAGGGCAAATGAAGCTCTACGACAACATTTTATCGGACCCACAGTCTATTGTCGATGGTTTTGCACAGCACTTTTCTAGCATTTTCTGTGATTCTTCTACAAACCCTCTATCAGGTGATTGCAAATGCTGAAATACGTGGAATTGTGATAATCTTGTCTGTGATATGTGTAACTGTGATATGTTGATATGTGATAAAACACTTGGTTGTGGTTTTAATATACCAGTGCTAGACAAATTTAATATCAGGAAAAAGGACATTATTGAAGCTAGTCGGAAGATAAGACCTAACTTAACGATGGGTAGTAACAACATTCCTGCTTTCTTTGTTCGTGACTGTATTTCATGTTTAGCAAAACCTTTGTGTTCTTTATTCAATTTAATTGTTGAGGCGGCGGTTTTTCCATCTGTTTGGAAGACAGCGAAGGTCTGTCCAATATTTAAACCAGGATCAAACAAAGATGTTACTAATTATACAGACCGATAGCTATCATACCTAATTTCGCAAAACTGTTTGAGACCATATTACCTATATATATTCATCAAATATCCGACTTTCAACATGGATTTGTTCAAGGTAAATCAACCAGTACTAATCTTTGTCAATTTATACACTTTGTTTCATTCTCTTTAGACCTAAGATTACAAATTAATACTGTTTATACAGATTTGTCAAAGATAAGGTAAATCGCAGGCTTATGTTACACAAATTAAAATCTTTTGGATTATGTAATAATTTGGTTAAATCTACACTTGCTGATAAAAAAACAGTTTGTAGAATATAGTGGCCACAAATCTTTTGTTTACAATTGCCCATCCAAAGTGGTTCAAGGCTCAAATTTAGGTCCCCTATTATTAGTCATATTTATAAACAATTTTGTTAAAAGTGTAAGCCATAACTGTAAAGTTTTATTATATGCAGATGATCTTAAAATAGTCAAAGTCATAGATAACATAGAAGATTTTAATACTAGATAATGTTAATAGGTTGTTTATTAACAGAGACAAATGCTGAATTATAATTTATAGCCGCAAGAATTGTAATATTTCTTTTGATTGCAATATGCTAAATGTTTCATTAAAAAGATGTATGGAGTTCAAAGATTTAGGTCTCACTATGGATACAACTCTGTCTTTTGTACCTCATGTACATTATATTATTAATAAGGCCATGCGTACTTTAGGTTTTATTGTAAGAAATTCTCGTGAATTAACTGCATTATGCAACTCTATAACTCATATGTAAGATCCATCTTAGGATAAAAGTTTACTAAATATCTTTATTTTAAGAAATATGGTACATATTCAACTCTACATTGTACTCATGATATAGTTTTGCGGCAATTAAACTTAGTACCACTCTCTGCAAGAAGACACTATTATTTACTTACGTTTTTATTCAAAATTTTTCACAATATCATACAAGATAGCGCTAGAACTCATACATGTATATTAGTACCCAGATCAAATGATGTAAGACAACCTATGCTTTGCTACTGTAATATAGTTAAATGAAATCAACATTTTTACTCGCCATTAGTTCACATGCAATGATTATATAATAAATGTAGACACTCTCTGGTTTTATTCGGTATGACATTGCATCAGTTCTCTGAAAAATGTAAATATGTAATTGTTATTTAATTTTTAGTTTGTATATCCGTTGTAAAATTTTTATTTCTTTACAAATTTTAATGTTTATGTCTATTTATGTGATTATGTAGCTATATAGTCATGTACTATTTTTTGCTAGTTGAATAATAAATTACTAATTAATATTATTATTATTATTGATATTATTATATGGCGATCGTTTGAAACTATTGAACACGGCGTACATATTTATAATAATAAATACCGAAAAGCCGTACAATTATTATTTACTAGCTGACCCCGTGAACTTCGTTTCACCTACAATTTAATTTTGAATCTGCAAAATCGAATGCTTTGAAATCTTGTAGATGTTTTAAACATATGATAAGCATAATACATTTTTATTCAAAATATATTTACTTATCCCCTCCAAAAAATTGATGACGTCAGCCCAAAATTTTGCCAAATGAATCCTGTCTAAAATGTCCAAAATAGGATGAAACTATACTTGTGATTTATCATTCCATTCAAATTTTTTAATTTTGCTTATACGGGGTGTCTCAAAAAAATTAATCACTGAGTCAATTTATTTTATTGATTGAATCAAGAACTGCAAAACTGAATTTTGAAATTTTTTAGACATTCTGAAGTTACTGTTTGACATGGTAGGTTTTCAATCAAAATATATCTGTTTATCAAGCCCAAAAACTTGAAGACGTCATCTCAAGATTTTGCCGAATAAATCCTATCTAAAATGTGGAAAACATCATCAGTATATTTTCGTAATTTATCATTGCATTCATATTTTTTAGATTTGCTTTTACAATGACTCAAAAAAATATATGGATCAGTCAATTTATTTTAGTGAATAACTCAAGAGTTGCAAAAATGAATACTTTGAGATCTTGCAGACGTTTTAAACTTATTGTAAGCATGGTAAATTGTTAAGAATATTTATTTATTCCCCCCAAAAAATTGATGGAATGGCTCACTCGATTTTCGCAGATAATTTTGGGAATACAATACAGTTATTTTTAGTATTACACTGCACCAATCCAAGGTGGTATACGTGTTGATAGTAAATGTTGATTAGGTCATCAGAAAATTGTGTGAAGAACAGACTCAACTCGAAAATGCTGAATAGGTTTTATTATACTTTTGGTGCGAAGGAAGTTCTATCGAAACAACGTTCGATCAATTTTTTGACAATGGTTGATATAAATAAAACTCAGCAGATGCTCATACTCGAAATACGAAGTATCTACTCGAATATCAAATCAAAATATTTCTAGTTTTTCTAGATGATACTAATACTTCAGTAAGTAACAGTTGATGCTCAAGTAGCATCTCGATACAACAAAAAAGGACAACAGTGACAGTGTTCAACCATCAAGCCAAAAATCGAGTTACCAAAATATAAGTTAGCATGGGGTAGACACCTTGAGATGGGAATCTCTATGGCCAGTGTTAGAAAAAACGCACTGCACAATTTATGCATAAATAAAAGTTAATTACATGAAAAGTTTTCGATATTCCTGCTCCTAATGTGTTTTTCAAACTGAATGCACCTTTTGACGACGTTCCACGTTCATGAAAGTCACCATGTTTACTTAAAATTCACTCTTACAACGATCCTACAGGTTTTCTAAGCTGCTTTACAGACAGCTTAGTTATTTGCGACGCCGATGCTTATTTCTAGATTAAATGCTCACAAAACGCGTAGATGTTAAGTTTGTGTCCGGAGAGATACAATGTTTCCAAGTAGGTACTCAGTACATAGAGTAGACGCTCAGGTATATAAGATTATTACTCTTTCTAGGTACTTCGTACTTCGAATATGAGTATCTACTCACTTTTATTCATACCACCCAATGTCTCGCTTCAATGTTTGATTATGTTGATTATGAGCACAACACTGATCAGCTTCCGTATCCGATTTACCCATGAAATAAATCATTGCGGTTTGCACCTGAGGTAGTTCGTCGCACATTTGATTGACTTCGTGGACCTATGTGAGCTTGTTGTCTTCTCGGCATTTTAATGAACTTCAAAAAACGACACAGAATTATTTTCACAGTCAATCAAATCTGTAAATTTTGTCTTGAGAATTTTAAAATATTGAAAACTTCAAATTAAATCCTCGAATAACGGTAAAGTTTGAGGTTTTGTCGAAACCAACAAAGTGAATATAGGTAAAAAGAATGGCAGATCACAATGAATAAGAAACTTTCGCAATGTAAAATAAACGACGTTTTTTTTTACGAAAAAACAAAGAACGATTTGAAATGCAATATACTTTTCACAATCGCACGGAAGAATTAGTTTTGTATGACACGTCAGTTAGACGACAGGTCCGTTAGAAACGCCAACTATTGAAATTAATTTGAAGTGGCGATTCCCATACAAAATTTTTAGATTTTTTTAATTTTTTAACTGTTCTTTTAAGTTATCCTTATTTTTTTTATTTATAAACCATCCCCGTAATATAAAAAAATGTTCAAATCGGTCAAGCCGTTTTTGAGTCTTAGCGAGACTAACAGGAACAGTAATTGATTTTTATTTTATAGACGATTAAAAAATGGGGGTTGGTGGTAGAAAGGTAAAAATTTAGGGTTATGTGTATTTTTTGATGCCAAATCTTAAAAAAATAAAAATAAAAAATTTTGTCCAAAAAATAGACAAACATTTTTTAGGGTGGGCCACCCTTATCACTTAAAGGTTTAAAAAATAGTTTACAACTTATTGTCAGACCTACCGAATATGCATAAAAAATTTCATACAAATCGGTCAACCCATTTCGGAGAAGTTCGGTTACAAACACTGTGACGCGAGAATTTTATACATAATGCATTATTATTATAGAACAAATTTCATTACCATAAAAAAGGTTATACTGACTCGATCTTAAAAGATAGACATATGCTGTCGCGGACTTTTCTTTAGATCTTTTAGAGGGGAACAATTTCGTCATACATGATTTTCACGTAACTTTAACCGTTTAAGCAGCGTAAGCAACGGAAGCTGTCAAAGGAGGAATAATTTTCCCGTTTTTCCGAATTTTTCATTGCTACTTCGCTCCTAATTATCGTAGCGTGATGTTATATAGCCTATATGTAGATATGATACATGGACTATCCAACACAAAAAGACTTTTTGAATTTGAACCAGTAGTTTCTGAGATAAGCGTGTTCAAATAAACAAAAGCTTCAGCTTTATTATATAAGTATAGATTACTAAGAAAGTACGAGTGTTATACATATATCTAGGTAATAAATTTATCATCAAACGAAAAATACGGCGATTATCTTTGTAAATTGATTACTTTCCCGCTTAAATTATTCGTAATATTTTTAATTTCAATTTCGACTGGGATTTTAAATCATAATCATAAATCGTCACCGGCGAAACACGTACTTACTACAGGCTACAAATGACTTGACCAAGATTGGCCACTGATTCTATATGGTCCGTGTTCTTCTGCAGATTTAGATACGAAAGAAAAATGTATCTATCTAAAAAAATTAAACGAATACGAAAAATAATTCGGCGGATAACTATCAACGAATTTAATAAGGTAAAACCTATCGACACTAGAATAGCACTAATTTATTGTATCCGTTAAAAAAATGTAGTTTTTACTTTTTCACATAATTTGATCGAGAATATATAAATGCAAATGATTAAAAAAAAATCGTCAATTTACATATTCAATAGAGTGTCATTAATTTATAGAAGATGATTAAATTTCGCAAAAAACAAATTTCATAGAATGAAATGAAGTAAAAATAAAATTTATTTATTTTTTTAATTAACAATGAGTCTTCACATGTGCATCATAATTTTAAACATTTACGATATATACTTTCAAAACAAAAAGCCTGCGCTTTAGAAATAAGTATTAACAAAGCAAATATTTTGTTCAAATCAAACTTACCTGTAATCTCTTTTGACTGTTTCTAGCAACGTTTGAAATCTTTCCGTTTTTGCTACTTTGATCAATAGAAAAACTACGGCCAAAACGACTAAAACAATAATGTATATCTACGAAAACAAAAATAAATAAAACTGTTTGTTTTATAATTTTCTAACATTTACTATCATCTTTGAAAGTAATAGTTTTATTTGATGGATTGAGAACTGTACACATTCGAAATCTGCTTATTAGTATTCAAGGCAAACGAGTTATAGTGACAAAATGAACTTTTAAATTTGGGTTATATAGTTTAAACTGTCTACGGTAATATAAAGATAGCGATTAAAATTTTATAAATATGTACAACCGAATTTTGCATGCATCATAAATTTTGGAATATTTTTTTTTCAGCCGACTTAAAACATGACACTTCTAATGACAATTTCAACAATAAAAGTAGACGTTTTCGTAATTAGGAAAAAAAACTTGTGTTACTAAAATATGAATAACGTTGTCTTTAATATTTTATGATTTTATTAATAACTAGCTTTTCGCCCGCAGCTTCGCTCGCGTAAACGATTCGTTGTGTTGAAGAACATTATTACCAACCTTCAAGTAAAAAATGTGTTGAAGGGCATTAATACAATTTCCAGTAAAAATCGACATAAAAATATGTTTGCTCATAAAAACTTTGTCATCCCCTTTCATCTTCTTAGGGATGGAATCTCGAAACAACCTGAAATGCGTGTTTCATTATTTGTGTTGAAGAGTATTAATACCTACCAAGTTCCCCGTAAAAATTTTAATTTACAGGAGAATTATTTTTCTCATACAAACTTCGCCATCCCTTTTCACCCCCTTAGGGATTGAATCTCGGAAAATGCTTAAATACGTATTTCATTATTTGTATTGAAGAGCATTAATACCAAGTTTCACGTAAAAATTTAAATTTACATTAGAAATCTTATTCCCATACAAACTTAGCTTCCATATTTCACTCCCTCAGGGGTTGAATCTTGGAAAATGCTTAAATATGTGTTCCATTATGCATTAATATTAAATTCCACGTCAAAAATTTAAAACAAATAATTTTTCCCAAATAAAATTAGGCACCACTTTTCACCCCTCTAAGCGGTGAATCTCGGAAAATGCTCAAATAAGTGTTTCATTATTTGTGTTGAAGAGCTTTAATACCAAGTTTCACGCAAAAATCTAAATATATTATAATAAAAAGATTTTCCCATACAAATTAATAAATTAAATTAAATCAGTCATAAATACTTTTGTGCAAAAAGTGAGTAACATTACTCCAACGTTTTTTACTTTCTGAGCACAAACTAGCCAAGTATTGTAGTAGAGTTTATGCGGTGAATGGCTACTTTCCTGTTTTCATGACCCCTAGGGTACGAAAAGATAAATCTCCCGTTTGCGTCTGTCTGTCCGTCGCCTCCTGTGTTGATTTTTATTAGACAAATAATCTCAGAATTTTACACGTGTGTTACGAATATCGTATAAATGGTAAAATGCTAGTTCTAAGCAAACTTTGCCCAATCATTTCCACCAACAATGTTATTAAAAACATTCTCCTACACTTTGTGGTTTATGAATGTGTCTTGTTTTTTACCCTAGATATCTAGATTTTTCGAAAAAAGTTCAAAATTCTGCAACATTTTACAATTTTAATTTTGAAACTATAAACCGAATGCTCTGAAATATGGCAAACATTGTATGGTTATCGTAAACATGTTAAATCGTTAATCAAAATGTATCAGTTTATGTTTTATTTTCTTCCGTTTTAAAAGTTGATAGCATTGGGCACTGCTCTCGTGCTCTCGTGTTGCTAACGCTATTCTTGTGTGGTATTTAGCAGGTCTGCCGCGAATAGACATGTTAGGTTAGTTTCGCCTGTTGGGACAATTGTGAACACGTAACGTGGGACAATTGTAAACACATATCATAGCTATATTTACTGATTTGTCAGCCACTCCAGGCAAAATTTTGCCTTTAGGATGCCCAGAAATTATAAGAAGAAGACACTTAATTAGTCTATCGTACAGTCAAGAAGATTTGGCGAGAGCAGTGTCAGATGTAGAAAATAAAAACAAAACTTTCCGCCAAGCCGAAGAATTTTATGGAATACCAAAAGCAGTCATCTATCATAGAATTAAAGGTCGAAACGTCAGTATCGCAAAAATGGGGACTGGGAGACCAGCAGTTCTTTCTGCCACAGTCGAAGCAGAACTTGGAAATTGCATTAAGGCTTAAGCAAGAATGGGATGTCCTTGCAATAAGAAGATGTTAAGGGCATTGTGGTGGAATATGTTAAGACCCAAAATTTGGAAACTCCGTTCAAGAATGGATGTCTCAGTAACGATTGGTACTATTGTTTTATGAAAAGACATCCGATATTGTCATTTAAGAAACCAGAACAACTTCAGAAGTTTCGTTATGAGGCAAGACAGCTGGACATAATTTATAATTTCTATCCTCTACTCAAAAGGAAAGGAAGTGTACGCCGATTAAAAGCCTGGAGATTTGGCGAAATTTTGACGACACAAGAAATTCTGATGAAACAAAAAAGAACTGAAGAACTGAAAGCCAGTAAGAAAAAGGAAAAGTGGGCAAGGGTGGATCCAGAAATAAAAAAGCTAGCAAAGAAGGCGTTAATGAAAACGAACTGAATAAAAACAATACATATTTGCGGGAAAGATATCATCCAGAAAAGAAAAACAGCCGGAAAAAGACAAAGTAAAAGCAAGTCTTCCAAAATATCAGTGACGATGAAACTGATTATATAATGGAAAATGGGTTATTTCAGGACGAATCAGACGATGATATAGGAAAATATACTGAAACATCATAATAGAAGCAAGACCAGAAGTTTTTTTATGAAACCCCTATCTCGGCAAACATTGCAGTTGGAAATTTTCTTTTACTAGACTTCATGGGTGGTCATAGGAAAAAATCCACTGCAGATATGTCTGTATAGAGTACAAGAGATAGACTATGACGAAGGAGAGATTGTTGTACAAGATTATACCAAACGGAACAATATGTGCACTGAATTTTCTACCATTTCAAGGGACATATCAACCATTTCGTTTGAAATGGTTAGGGATATTTTACCTGAGCCTGAATCTAAGGAACAAAATGGGGAAGTCTTTCCAGGTCGAGTGAAAGTCCAACAGAAAGAGTTTTATTGCATAATTCTATATTTTTTTATTTTTATACTGAATAAAGGTTTAAAAAGCCACATGTTACATATTATTTTTGTCAGAGTAAATAATTAACTGGGGTAATTGTAAACACATATATTCCAACATAAATTTGTATGGTTCAACTTCTTAAGAAGGATTGTTCATATTTCCCCCTCAAATCTTTCACTGCAATGCTATGGAAGAGAAATAACTTGTTCACAATTACCCCCGAGTACCGGGATAAATATAAACAGTGAAAAGTAAAAAAACAATTATAACTCATTAACTAAATAATGAAAATGTTTTTTTCATGCTTGCATATTGTCCTGGAGAATCAAATGTAAATATGGCACATTAAAACTGTAGTGGAAAAAATAAGAAAGTCATTCTAAGATTAGGTATAATAACAAAAATATGCAAAATACGTTCACAATTACTTCATCTGACCCTATTTGTAAGGAGATTTGTAACATTGATTTTCTAAAGCTGCGGAGGTTTCTGCAGCTAGGAAATAAGTCCTCACAGGCTTAGTTCACAGCTTTTCCCTCCCAAGGAGAAAGAATAAACGATTTCCTCTCCATATTTTGCATTTTGATTTAAAGTTACTTTTCAAATCTTGATTTCATCATGTTGTATTTTCATCAGATTGCATTTAAATACATTCCACCACAAAAAAGAACAGACAGCCTAGGGTTCCATTTTTATTGGCAATCACAGCTCAAGGCCAACTTTTGAATTTTTCGTGGATTTTAAAATTTTGTGCACATGTCTCATTTTGGTGGGATGTTTGGCCTATTACAATAATAATAATTAAACTTAGATTTATGTACTTCAATAAAGTTGTTGTTTTTCGTCAGTCCTTTAATATAAATACTTCCTTGGATCCAAAATTGACACAAACCTAATATCTAAAATATTACTTTATAAAGTTTTAAACGGACTGTTCAGTCTTTCACACATGGTTTAACCAAGCCATGTCAGTCAAAAGCGCTATGAAGAAACCTAATTTTGGTAAAAAGCCTTGTTATTCTAATTCATCTGCTAATTACCCGAGTTTCATAGAGGTACCCATTTTACATTAATTATTTAAAACCAGCTACGTTATAAAATGATTTAAGAAATGCTAACAACTCTAAAGTCTAACTTTTCCAGTCATTATATCGTCGTATATATCTTCGGTTAGTTCTGCATAAGTAATATTCTTCGCATCAAACATATACAGCTTATCTTGAATCTTTTCTATATTAAAACCTTCTTGTCTCAGTGTGGTTTTCTTCAATTTAAAAGTACCAGTTAATTCCACCGACTCTATTATCCTCAAAAATAATGGAATCGAGTACGCTGGTAAGTTACTTTTCAGACTTTGACCAAACTTCTGTAAATCCAACGTTTTGTCTTTGTCTACCACAGCAGCCATACCGGCTCTTCCTTCAGTACCGGGCACCTACAATGAAGTTAAGTATGCACAAAAAGAGCCATAACTAAAACTTATTTGTTACTTCTACACCATACACCACGGCATCTCTGAGATTTAAAATATTACTAATTACTGCTTCCACTTCAGAAGTAGCTACGTTTTCTCCCTTCCATCTGAACGTATCTCCTGTTCTATCTCTAAAATAAAAGTACCCTAATTCATCTTGGACTAAAATATCTCCAGAATTGAAAAACACATCGCCAGGTTTAAACACATTTCTCAATAACTTCTTTTCGCTGGCTTCTTTGTTCACATATCCTAGGAACTGCCCAATGATTTTATTGAGACTGATTTTTCCTATAAAAAGTCCAGGTTCCCCGGGTTGACAAGCTTGGTAAAAACCATCACTTCCCCGAATTGGTTCTGCTGTTTCCATATTGCATTTGATTAATGACATCGAGTGTACAAATTTTAACCACACGGGAAAATAACCTACTGCTCCTGGCGTGTTATCAAGGTTCACTACAAGGGGGAGATTCATAAAAAGTTATTGATAATTGTGAAATATTTCTACTCATGTTGACGTTTCCTTCGGTAGATCCATATATTTCGAATACTTGTTTGATGTTAAATTTTGAGACAAATTCCTTCCAAATTTGTGGCCGTAGTCCACTTCCAACTAATTTCTTAACAGAATGATGGATCAAAGTATTATCATTTGTGTGGTGTACTAACAAATACCGACAAATTTCACCAATGTAAAGTGCTACCTAAAATAAAGTCGCCAGTTGGACTATATGTCTATGTATTCTATGTTTGAAATTAAAAAAAAGGCGATTTACGTTTATTTTCGCTCCAGACAGAAGCAAAACGTTTTCACTTGATGATACCGAAATTAGTGTTCGTTTTAACTTACTGTGCATTTATATTTGTTGCAATCTTTCCAAAAATTTGATGCAGAAAATTTCTTCCGGAGAGCTATCGGACCACCAGTAATCAGGCAATGTGAGAGGCATAACATAGCACCCGTACTGTGGTACAGGGGGAGAGAATTATACATAACATCTTCTTTGGTTAGTTTCGTCATTGCAGGTAAACCAGTTGCTACCATCAAGAACCTCCCATTTGAAATAATAGCTGCTTTGGGCAAACCTGTCGTTCCAGAAGTATAAATATACAACAACTTGTCCCTCAGTTTCCCCTTTCGGATTTCTTCAGTTGGACTAGCGTCGGATTCTTGGTCTAATTTAACGTTTAAATTTTCTGCCTCCTCAAGTAGTTCTGATTTTTCATTTCTTCCAGATAACTGATAAAGTTTTGTGTTTGGTATCGCGTCAGAAGAATTTTTTATCACTAAGGACTACTATATTAGCCACACCAAGTACATGAATGAACATAAGTACCGTCTTTGAGCGCAGACCCATAGATAATACATTTAGGTTGAACCGCACTGATTGAATGTAGTAACGGATCACCAACAAGATTGTTGTTGACAAGGGCTGTGATCACACCAATTTTGCTCAAACCGAGCCAAACACAAACATATTCGGGTCTATTTTCCATAAACAGGGCCACAACGTCGCCTCTTTTGTAACCTTTACTTTTGAAAAAGTTGGCAATTTTGTTGCTGAAGTTCTCAACCTAAAATATCTCTTTAGTGTTGAAGTAGGTTCTAGTTGCAAATAGTACTTCTTGAAATGTCCATGTTTCTTCTTCGAAATAAATCGCATTTCTTTTGGAATTTTTTGATACGAGTTTACTGAACAGTTTCGGTACTGTGTCTTGTCTTTTTTGGTAAAGTGCGAACTGAATGACCATACAAATTAGGATGCGGACTAGACTACAATGCAAAAAGAATTAGTATTGACGTTTACGTTAAAGCACAAAGCAAAACTGTGGTGCTCAATAAAAAAAACTATTCTGCTGGAGAATACTTTGTAAAATGTGATTGTTTAAGCCGTAAGATTAGGACAGAGGGAGGTATACGATTCCAAAACATTTTTTTATTATGCTTTTAGATTGAGAAGAATATATCTGTTAGGCAAAAAAGCTTATGATTGATATTTAAGTCATCGTCATCACAACGAGACAGCAAATTTCATCAAATTTTAACCCAACTTGTTTTTAGATGTTTTATAATCACTTTAAAGATTCCAATAGTAAGTAGGATTCTTAGTGTTGATGATACACAGTTTTCCAAGCAAAGTGTGGAGGTATTGATACAAAGGAATGAAATCCATATGTTACGGTTAAAGTGAATACTCGGCTGGTTTTCAAACTAACTGGTTGTTATGCAAACTAACCAAGTCGCTAGTTATTATAGACGAAAAACTATTTTCTCTTACATTAGCAGGGTTTCTTGGTTAATTTGTAAACTGCCAGCTAGTTTATAAACTATCGTACAAGTTTGGATAATTTACATACTTTTTTTAAAGTACATAAATTAACCGAAATAATTGGTTAGTTTACAAACCAGCCACTTTGTTCTGGTTAAAATAAGAACTTTTTCTCTAGTACGATAAAATAACCAATGAATTGTATCATTGCCTACATTGAACACTAAAACAACTGTCTGTTTGCATACTAACTGCCTAAAATATGATACAATTCATTGGTTATTTTATCGTACTAGAGAAAAAGTTCTTATTTTAACCAGAACAAAGTGGCTGGTTTGTAAACTAACCAATTATTTCGGTTAATTTATGTACTTTAAAAAAAGTATGTAAATTATCCAAACTTGTACGGTAGTTTATAAACTAGCTGGGCAGTTTACAAATTAACCAAGAAACCCTGCTAATGTAAGAGAAAATAGTTTTTCGTCTATAATAACTAGCGACTTGGTTAGTTTGCATAACAACCAGTTAGTTTGGAAACTAGCCGAGTATTCACTTTAACCGTAACACATATAAATAATACACAGTAATTTAAAAAAGGATGAGTATCGGGTGTTCATTTAAAAAATTCATGGAGTAACCTCACATTTTCGTATAATAAAATTAACTCTTTTCAACAACTCTGCCAAATGTCAATTATACACAACGCCAGCCTGGTGACTTATTTTTCAATTGAACACCTGTTATTTAAAAAGTCAAGAACTTGACGTGTTGCCACTTTTATTATGAAATGTTTTAAGTACAGCAAAAATATATAGTATTTGCCATTTCTGTTGAAACACTACTTGTTAATCATAAATTTGGCAACGTTCATGTTCAGACAATTTTCTAACTAAAAGCCGTTGTCAATCAACCGAAAGCTGTTACCAATTGCTAAAATTTAAGCAAAATCAGCAGGTGGTGGTTCAATAGAAATGGCAAAGACAATATAGATGAATCAACTTACCTCAAATCCCGTTTTAACGTTTTAAAAAATATGTAAATCTTCCTAAAGTTGTTTTTCTTGCTGTTGAATAAAAATACGAACAAAGCGACTAATGAAACTATGACATATATCTAAAAAAAAATTATTTTGTACGTTCGTAAGTCTGCTATAAGTACTTACCTACCATTTTTATAAACACGTTTTGTATCAGCGACAAATACACTGCGGTTTCGTCAAAAGGAAAACTCCAGATATATTTATTGTAATCTTGAATATTTATACTTACGCTGTATTATATTACCTCTATGACGGTTGTAGTACAAAACATGCGTGTGTTTTAAACACAGAGCTCAAAACGACTTGTTTGTTTGTTGGACAACAGATAACTTTATCTGTTCAACTGTGATCAGTGATAAACACAAGATGGTATTTTTAAGAAAGTTGTTTTGCTTTGTAATTTTAAAATAAAAACAATAAGATAATTATAAGCCTATTCATTCCAGGAAGTCGATAACTTCGATGAACAAATTTGTGTTAACTTTTGATACTGGACGCTATTTATACTTGAACCTTACTGATCTTTACGCAAAAATAATAATGGTTGCTTGAACGGGTGCAACATACCTCTGCCGCATAATTAAACAGTAACACTGGTTAAACCTGTGTTCAAGGTAGTCGTTTAAATTATGAAACGCAATTATAATATTAAGGTCTTATTTGTGTAAACAACATATTTTCTTCACTGGGTGCAAATTTGACATTTTAGTCATAGTGGAGCATAGTTTAACATCAAACTCAAAACAAGTTACCACCAAGTTAGTATATACATAATGCAGAATTATTCATCTGCCTCCCACTGACTACCTGATGTTTAAAATTACGAAGATATAATTTTATCAACGATACGATCACTTTGGTGCACTTTCAATGAATCAGAAATCGAGTTAGCGGGAAAGTAAGCTTCTAATTTGTTCTACACAGTCGATTTTATTTTTTTTCGTTATTCGGTTGTATAAAAAACTAATTATATGAATTTTGTTATATTGCCTTAACCCTGTAATCACTGCCTGTACATCAAGACTACCCGGTTTGACATGCGTCACTGGAATTATTCATTGGTAATTGTTATTAACGTTATTATCATCTATTTACAAATGCTTGTTACGCTTATGCATATTAACATTTTCAATCAATACGTCCTAATCTCTTAATGAGCATTCTCAAACTTTAAAGTATCTGATCTAAATCTATTATCTTCGAACAATTTCAAGTGTGCCGTTGATATTACAACTAAAACTGATAAACTCCGCAGGTTATCAGTGTTATCACTAATAATAATGCTCAATTTTTACTAAAGTAAATGCAATGCTAAGTGATTATTTCAAAATCTTTTTATAAATTTAGTAATAATAATTATAACGTAATAGTCCAGTCAAATTAGCGATCAACCTCGGAATGAGATATAATAAGTTGAATTTTCGTATACACCTTTATTTTAGCGTTCTAAAAGTTGTCTCAAAAGTCTCATAAAATCTCTTGTCTGCGTCGTCAGTTATTCATGGTCAAATCTCAAGAAAAACAGTTTTTTGCGATTATTTCGGTTGGTATTGCTCCAATGATGTTAACATTTATTATCATAATTGTAGAGCACACAATTTGAGACAAATTTTATTTGAAACATTTTTTGTTGCACTCAATCGTTTCTGAGATAGAGGGCAGCGCTCATCCATGTACTGTAATGCAATCAACCGTGAATATCTGTGAATACTACCTTGAATTTTGAATAATTTGTATTATTTATCAATTAATACATATTGTATTTAATAACATTTTACATATTTTCAATACATTCATTTAATGATACTTACCTACTTTGTGTAATTAAAAACTCTTTAAATGAAATATTTATTGTAGGTATATCTTAATTTATTGAAATAGATTTTAAATAGAAAAATAATTAAGTACTTTATCTTTCAAATGTGTAAGTTTTTAGATACTAAATAATATATTATACTTGTTATATTATTATATATCTTAAAGTTATATTAATTTTTTCAAAGTAAATTTTAAGGAAGTAAAACTAGTTCATATATTTTAATTTTATCTTTATTGAGCAGCTGTACATTTCTTATGATTGAAATTGAATTGCAGTGAAAATCTATAAATTGTTAATAATTTAAAGAACAAAAGTATTAATTTTCTTCTTCACCGTCATCTTCTGGACGTTCGGGAATTTCTGTTTCATCGTCATCATCTTCGGTGCCCTGAATCGTTGTTTCCAGACCTTTCTGTTATAATCATGATAGAAAAATAAGTATTTAAAAACTTACACATTTTAAAGATATAAATAAATTGAGATATACAATAAGTATTTCATTAAATGAGTTTTTAATTACACAAAGTAGGTAAGTATTATTCAATGAATATATTGAAAATATGTAAAATGTTATTAAATACAATGTATTAATTGATAAATAATACGAATTATTCAAAATTCAAGGTAGTATTCACAGATATTCACGGTTGATTGCATTACAGTACGTATGGATGAGCGCTGCGCGCTCACTGCCCTCTATCTCAGAAACGACTGAGCGCATGAAAAAATGTTTCAAATCAAATTTCTCCCAAGTTTTGTGCTCTACAATTATGATAATAAATGTTAACATCCTTGGAGCAATAGAAACTGAGATAATCGCAAAAAACTGTTTTTCTTGACCTTTGACCTTGAATAACTTGCCACGCAGACACGAGATTTTATGAGACTTTTGAGACAACTTTTAGAACGCCAAAATTAAGGTGTATACAAAAATTCAGCTTTTTATCTCTCATTCCGAGGTTGATCCCTTTTTTATGCTAAAATGACTGGACTATAACTTGTAATTAATGCTACAGTTGTCTAGGCCGGTTATATAATATAAAAAGCTGTAATATTAAGAAATTAAAATATACGTAAATGGAAAAATGGAGTATTTATGTACTTAAAAATCGTATGATATAGGCTTACATAAATTTTGTTGAAAGATGAAACCCAATTGATTAATTTAGGTTTGAACTTTGTCCCGTCTCGTGTTAATAGTGCAATTTTACACTAGACGATTTTAAATCACGTTGTTCCTGATCGTTATCGTCATAGATACTAGTAAGCAAGTTATTTTGGTAATAACTATTTAGAAGAAAATACGTGTGATACACCGTTTCGCATAGAAAAAAATATATATCCAGACAGAACCTGGACTGTCGCTAACACATGACAAGCACAATAATCAATTCTAAATCCAAGCTAGATTCAGTTATTTATTTTTTGTAATTATAATATGTGTACAGCAAACAAACATGATTTTGTTCTAATAATAACAAAAATTATTTTCTGTGATCCGTACTAAGACACTGTCAAATTTCCCTCTGTGCATAGGTACATTTTTAATTTTTTTTACAATAATTAATATGCGTGTGCGTATTTGTTAGAACACGAATAAACTAATAAACTACAACAAATGTGCATCTATGTTTGTCACATAGTTTGTGAGATAAACAAACAATTTCATAATCACGACGGTTTTAAAGGCAGGAGGAAAATTGTAACAAATAAAAGGTGGAACGACCGCTGATTTTGTCGTCACTCCGCGAAAATAATCCATGTTTTTTGTTAATTATCAAAATTGTAATTTACAATAATATACATACAGCGTGTTATTGAAAGATACGTACAAAATAAAATCGGCAATTGGTCTCGAAGTATGGGTGCTAAAATTTAAAAAAAGTTCAGGTAAAAGTGTTCTCCTTTTAGAGATAAAAATTATTAAAATTTATGTCCAAATTCGCGTTGTACGCCTCTGATAAAAAGGTCATCTTTCGTTTCTACAGCAACAAAAGGGTCTCTTATTTTTTTATTATTGTTACAGTTGCTAGGATTTATTAAAATTAATTAATTTTACCTATTTATCCTTCAGTAGCGTCTAAAAAGATTGGATAGGGGTTAATTTTCCCCTTATAATTTTGGTAACACAAATTCAGTTTTGCAGATTTCTAGACTTCGCGAAGAACTGTCAATTTTGTTGTACGTACCTTTCAATAACACCCTGTATATGTGTAATTGTATATGTACAGTACAACATTCGAATAAATGTTACGTGACCGCGACCGAACGGGGAGAGAGTATATACTTTCAATTTCAAGTCACTTGACATATACCAAAGAAAATTAACAAAATTTGAACAAGAAGCGTCACTGTCCCCAAATGGAGAAAACGATTTATAGTGCGCAGTTTCACCAAGGTGTACAGACAGTGTGTTTAGTAAAGCTGTATCGCACTGTTCTATTTTTGTTTATTGTAGGCGTACATCGCACTCTTATAACAGACCTTTGTCGTTACTTATTTCATACACACGTTTTCGCCGTTCTAAGCATTCTAACGATGCCATTTTAAAAACCATCCTTGTAAATGGCCCCTTATTATCATTCTTACTGACGTTTGAAAATAAATCTGAAATTTTGGTACTTTGAATTTATTTTGTCAACAATGCTAGCCAAATTTATACTTTAAAAGTCAATACATAATTTGACGTCTTTTGAAATTTTTTGTCCGGCGTAGTGCAAGTGGTTTAAACAAAAAGCACAAATGACAGTAACATGAATGTCTTATTCCCATTGCTTTTTATTGATCTATGAGAACTTGAATTGCTCATCTTGTCCCTTTTTTTTAAATCAATAGTATTACCAAAGTACTTTTTTAAATTTTTTGTAACTTAAGAATCAAAACATAAAAAATGTAATTTTATGAAAACAAAATACTTTGCGATGATTTTTACCTTGCGATCTATTGACTATGCGACAAATTTACGTGCGACCAATTTTCCCGACATAAAAGACAGACAAATTATTTGTCAACATTCAGCTTTTAAAATTCCCGCGTCAAAGCACCCCAACAAAATGGCTGAAGATCACCAAAATTGACCAGCAAGAGCTCAAAGACAGCGTCAGGAGTGTCGCTTCTTATTCAAATTTTGTTAATCTTCTTTCCATATACCTAGTAAGACTTTACAACTCCATTATAACAAAAAAGGACCGTAATAATCCTTGCTTAAGCGTTATACAAGTTTTACTAGGTAGATGTCAAGTGAGTTAAGTATAGAATGCCTCCACTACAACAAAATAGGTAAATAGTTGGATGGTGGAAGGGAAGGATTGGCTGGGATTGCATCGAATCCGGCAGCGCCACCCAGCGATGATCTCTCTTTACAAATGAAAAAATATTAATGAAAGAAAATACACCAAAAAAAAACAAGAAAAATTAAATACCTAGTTCCACTTACGTGAGTTTAATTTCACAAAAAAATCGAAAAAAATCGCCAGATATATCAGAAAATAAAAGTAAATTACGAAACTTTTATTAAAATTAATTTTGTCTTAGGTAAAAGAAAACAAAAACCTGATTTACGAGTAACACAGTTAATAGATGGTTTGGTATATCATTTTAATTTTTTTTTTGTTTGGCGAACATATACCTATCAATTGTCAACGTGTGAAAATAAAAGAATTATAATTAGATATTTTGGTTATTTTTTGATTGACCAATCACTTATCATATCACTTATCAGTTACCATTCAGGAGTCTAAATATACAGGGTGAGTATTATAATAACGGAACCCTGACCGTGCCCTGACCAAATTTCAATGCAACACAAAATAAGAGATCTCAGATGTAACTCTTTTTATATTTTATTTTTCTAAAATGTACATAGTTACCTAGTAGAAGTAGTTAATTTTGAATTTCGCAATAATCATGCAATAATTCTATTTGTCAGTTTTGAGGTTCGATAAGTTTTTAGTCTTCGCGACAAGATGACGGTTAAATACACGAACGATGAAAAGGTTGATATGACCTTGATTTTTGTAGAATGCGGAAAAAATGCCGTTGCAGCAGTAAATTTCTTCGAAACAAGATATCCCGATAGACGACATCCATTCGAACAAATCTTTAGATGTTTAGAAAAAACGTTAATACAAAATTGGCCGAAAGAAACAAGAAATAGAGGACTTACTGCTACTAGTGTCAAAAATGAAATTCATGCAATTGAAACCGTGGACAATGACCTGCATGTGAATCAAAGATTCATAGCACGACAGGTAGGAATATCTCAGTCTTCCCTTTCAAAAATTTTAACAGAGAATAAGTTTCATCCTTACCATGTGACATTAGTACAAGATCTAAAAGAAGAAGACTTTCCCAGAAGAATACAATTTTGCAGTTTAATGCAACATCAACTAGAGTTGGACAACAATTTTTTATTCAAAGTTTTGTTCAGCGATGAAGCAAGATTTGGCAATAACGAGGTTGTTAATCGCCACAACTGTCAATATTAATCCCAAAATAACCCACACTGGGTCATAACAGTTCACTTTCAAAATGTTTATGGACTGGTATTATTGCAGAATATGTAATATGACGTTTGCAAATAAGTGGATTGGCAGAGGCAGTTTGAATAGTCTTGCTTAAATCGCATCGAAATGTGTGCTGCGCAGGAAGGAAGGCATTTTGAACAGTACTTACGCTAGTTAAATTTATTTAATTGTTCGATTTATTTATTACATTTCTTTGAATTAATATGTTGATATATTTTTTTAATACAGGGTGTTCGCTAAGTTGAGACATTCCTTTTAACACGTAGTTTTATGCCTTGCTCGAGAGCGATTTAGCTTCTATTACCTTAGTAAAATTTCAATATTTATTGATTTCATCTTTTTATAAATTTTAGAAATTTTTAGAGACGGTCCTGTCCAAAATTTCTAATTAAAGATTAGCATTTACAAAAAATATCATTGTCGTGGATATGAATTTAGAGTATTGTCAGAGCTGTCATTCAAATTTATTGACATGGCTCATTTTCAACGTGCTTATCGTTTTGAAAATAGTGAGCTTGTAGATATGTTAATACTCTATGGAGAATGTCACCAAAACGCTGCTGTGGCGTTGAGAATATATGCAGAAAGATTCCTCCGAAGGCATCCCCCTGGGCCTCGTTAATTTACGAATCTCGTACAGCGAGCTAGAGAAACTGGAAAATTAGAGGAACATCGTGGAGGACGCGCCGGTAGACCAAGACTCCAACAGATGTTAGATCTAGAAGAGGAAATTCTAGAAATAATAGGCGAAGATCCAGCAATTAGTACCCGACAAATTGCTCATCGAGTAAATACAGGTCACAGCAAAATATGGAGCACATTACATGAAAATCAGCTCCATCCTTATCACGTCCAACGTGTGCAATCTTTAATACCTCCTGATTATCCCCGAAGAGTACGATTTTCAGAATGGCTTTTGGAACAAACTATGAACCATGAAAATTTTATTAACCAAATTCTGATCACTGATGAAACAACATTTACTCGTAATGTTACAATGAATTTTCGTAATACCCATGTATGGGCCTTTGAAAACCCGCATGCAATTCGCCGCACAAATTTTCAGCACAAATTTTCGATAAACATATGGGCTAGCATTGTAAATGGTATACTTATTGGACCATTTATCTACCGGATCGCATGGATGGTATGCAGTATCTCAACTTTGTGCAAAACGATTTGCCTGAATTACTGGAAAAAGTTCCATTAAACAGAAACAGGCAGAACATATGGTTCCTACATGACGGCGCACCACCACATTATCGTCTGAAAGTGCGGAATTATTTAAACTACGCTTTTCCTCATAGGTGGATAGGGCGAAATGGCCCCATTGCCTGGCCGCCCCGTTCGCCGGACCTAAACGCTTGCGACTTTTACTTATGGGGGCACATGAAGCAGTTGGTTTATACGAGTGAAATACACACAGTTGAGGAGCTACGAGATCGTATTTTTAATGCCGCTAACCAAATTCGACAGCAGCAAGGGCTCTTGTCCTGTTGCAATTCATGGATACGAAGATCAAGGCTTTGCATTGCAAATAACGGCAACAATTTTGAGCATTTACTGTGAATTTCTCAGGTGCGCAGTTGCAGTGAGAATTCTTAAGTTAGACATTTTGTAAAAAATCACTTCTTTGTTTTTACATTTTATTTCTTCAAATAAATTAGCCATCTGATTAATTAAATTCTGTTGTGTAACATTTCAGTTATCAATTTAATACATGAATAAATCTAACAACTTACCGTTGTGATTCACCTAGATAGTTTATAGATTTTTCTTATCGTTTCAAATAGGTAGACCTTTTAAACCTTGAACTAGAAATGAAATGAAGAGTTAAAATCAGAAACTTTCAAACGATTTTCAAAACGTCATAAAGGGACAAGTACTATTGACATTATTACAAAATATTACAACCATGGTAACAATGGATATTGTATAGGTAGGCATCGTATTCCAATTAGGATAGAATGAACAGGACCGAACTCAAAATTTTAGAAAAGTACAATTACAAATAACTATCTAATTTTCTTACAATGCCACTTTTGCTTAAGTGACTTAGGCTAAAACCCTTTAGAATTAAGTATAGTAGCACGTGTTCGAAGGAATGTCTCAACTTAGCGAACATCATGTATATCATTTGTGAAATTTTGATTGACGGCTTTCAGAAACAGTGACAACTAACTGGTATGGAGAGTACCTACACTGATCCTAAAAACTTACGTGTTTATTTTGGAATCCAGCAAAAACTGATAGATGTATGTTGTTTGCATTGAACATTGGTCAGGGTTCAGTTATTATAATTAATAAGAATACTCAGCCTGTACATTTCAGATACAGATTTCAAACATAGGTATAACCATGGCCGACTAGTATAAAGGTTATGGCCTGTCCAAGAGGTACCATACGTGTTGCCATCAATTAATAATTACACTTAATAATTTAGCATAATTTTAATTTGACTTGACATTATGAGACTTCAAAATGTGTAATTGTGGTTTGTGCCTTTCAAAAAGTGTTAATAATTCTTTTGTCGTTTTTGAATTATTAATAGATTATTAATAGGCAGCACGTATGGTACCTCTGGACAGGCCATAATCTTTGTACTAGTCGGCCATGGTATAACCACAGATTACGGATATTCGTAATCTGTGGTATAACTATGTAGGCAACCATCGCAACGATTACAACCCGGAACCTGGAATCTTTGATTTTGACAGTTGGCTTTCATTTTCCAAATGGTAGAGGTTATGTTTTCACAAACAACAATACAATCGACATGGAAATATTAGAATTTAAAGACTTAAAGTGTATACCAGACATTGTCCACTCCTACACCCCAGCTCTTCGTAACAACAGCGTCCCCATAGTAATCGATAATGGTATGTCTAACCTTAAAAAAATTAACCTTTGAAAAACAATTTTTCCAGGTTCCTACCAGTGTCGAGCCGGCTGGGCCACCAGCCCGGAGCCACTCCTCCTTTTCAAAAACCTCATAGCGAAACCACGGAAAGAACGATCCAAAAAAGACACAGTTGAAGCCATACAAACCCCTCAGCTGCAAGTAGGCAACGACATAGTTAACATTGAAGCTGTGCGTTTCCAGTTGAAAACACAGTTTGACAGAGACGTCGTAACACATTTTGAGGCACAGGAGCACCTTTTTGATTACACTTTTAGTCATTTGGGGATTGACACAGATAATTCTATCCCACATCCTATTGTGTTGACGGAGGCTCTGTTAAATCCCAATTCATCAAGACAGTGTTAGATAGCATTTTTATGTATGTATTTATTGGTTAATTTTTTCTTTTTTAGTGATGTCTGAGTTGCTGTTCGAGTGTTACTCAGTCCCTGGAATCTCTTATGGTATTGATTGCTTGTTCTCCTACCATTTTAATGAGGTTAAACCACAAAAGAACGCCTTGATTGTGAATGTTAGTTATCATACCTGTCACGTGGTGCCGATTCTTGAAGGGAAAATTGTTTTTGAGAATGCGAGGCGGTTGAATACGGGAGGTTTCCATGTGATTTCTTTTTTGCATAGGATATTACAATTAAAATATCCAGCACACGCTACTTCAATTACGTTAAGTCGGGCTGAGGAACTGTTGCATGGAATTTGTGAAGTTGCTTTAGATTATAGGGAGGAGTTGGCCAGGTGGACTGATCCAGGATATTATGAAGAACACATTAAGAAAATTCAGTTACCTTATAGTGTATCTTTGGCGAGTTCAGCACTTACGCGTAAGTCTGTGTTTGTTTTGAAAAAAAAAAAATGTTTACAAAAAATACATTAGAGAAAACTTTTTTTTCTTTACAACGATTATAACTGTTGATTATATTTTGGAAACTCAAATATCTTCTATTAATTAAAAAAAAAAAACCATGGTACTATTTTCAGTGTCAGCTTTTGCCCCACTTTCCCCAAAATCAAAATGGAAAACATTGTCGATTTTCTTTTGTTGAAAATGAGCAAAAGCAGCTTCTTTGACACAAGTTTCTTTTTAGTGCATCTCATTTTTGACAAAAAATCGACAATGTTTCCCGAGTAACGTACATAGTTCTGTAAGGTGAAAACCACGTTCCGAAATTTTGGTAAATAATAAAGATATTGATTTTTAAACTCACTACGAAAAATTTCACCAAAATGATAAAAAGTTTTTAGAAAAACTGCTCTGGGTTATATAGCAAAAGGTGTAGACAGGCTATATATAAAATTTTATATCTTTTAAAAGCGGAGATATTACATTCTGAAAATATATTAAAATCCCATGAGCCAAAGGTAGGGACTCCTTTTAAATGTATCATGAAGATGCTGCTAAAACGTGCATGGATATTGTGTTACATTGTGTCCCTCAAAATTAATGTATATTATGTATTTCCCTCCAACAAACAATTTATACCAGCATTATAAAAAATAACTAAATTTTATTTGCATAGTTCCTTGAAACAGGTAGCTTGTTTCACTGTTTTTGTTTTATACAGTTAAAGTTAAAATGTTCTAATAGGTACATATCTAGTGCTAACGAGTAATATAACTTATATAAAATGATTTTTCAACGTTAATCTTTGTTTTTTCTGTCTTTTTTTTTTTTAGTGGAACAACAAAAAGAAAGAAAACGCGAGCTCGCCCGCCGCCTCATCGAAATCAACGCCCGAAAACGCGAAGAACGCCTCGTTGAAGATGAAGAGAAACTCAACCAACTTCTCTATATTCAAGAAATGGTCGAAGCGGACGTCGACAAAGACGAAATCGAAAAAGCATGCGCCGAATACCAAATAAAGCACCTCCAGGATCTGCAAAAACAAATCAATACCCTGAACGCCAAAATAGAAAAGACCAAACAAAAAATCCTAGCGTCCAACAATTCGGAAGAAGTCGAAGAACCACCCAACAAACAGCCCAAACACAACAAAATAGTGTTCGAAAGCGAAAAAGCAATGCATATATTTTTGCAGAATGCGAAGAAAATGGTAAAAGAAGAATGAAAACAAAAAAGGGTGAAATGTAATGGTGTTTGTGATTGCAGAGGCAAGAAATTCTGAGCAAAAAAATGACCAGGAAACAACGGAAGCAAGACATGGCGAAGAGAAGAACTGCTGCTGGGCAAGAGAGAATGAGGATTATTTCTCAGTTGGCGCGAAAAGAAAAAGGAAATGACGATTTTGGGTTGAGGGATGAAGACTGGGATATTTATAAAGCGATAAGTAAAGACGGTAAGTAGTAAAGAAATGTCCGTCTTTTAATTATTATAAAATTTTTCAAATATAAAAATAACAAATAATTTCAAATTCCAGGTGGCGATTCTGACAGCGAGGCCGAAAACGAGAAACTTCTAGAACTCGACGAGATAATAAGAACCCACGAACCTTCTGACCTAGACGAAACCACTAATCCAGGGGAAACCCATCAACTTCACGTGGGTATAGAACGCTACCGTGCGCCAGAACTACTCTTCAAACCGTATATGTTGGGGTCTGCAGAAGCTGGTCTTTCTGAAGTTATAGGTTACGTTTTTTCGTTGTTCAATACGGAAGATCAGTTGAAATTGGCGGAGAATGTCGTTGTGATGGGGGGTTTGGCCAATTTGCCAGGCCTACAACAGAGACTTTTGTCAGATTTAATCAGTATTCGACCTTTTCAGTCTGTGGTTAATGTGAGGATTGTTAGCAATCCGAGTCTAGGGGGCTGGTTTGGGGCGAAAAAGTGGGCGAGGTCGAGTGAGTTGAAGGAGAATTTGTTGACTAGAGAGATGTATGATGAGTGTGGGCCAGAGTATTTTAAAATTCATGTGGCTTCGAATCCGTTTTACCCGACACCGAAAGGGCAAGAGATAGATATAGATGTTTCGTAAATTAATTATTTATATAAGAGTGTGAAAAAAAAATTAAGTCAGTGAAAAGTGATTTTTATTTGTAACGATTCTCAAGCAACGGGCAAGAACAGATTATCGCAATAATGTTGTTTATACAGACGATTATTAATGTTTGTATTTTTTTTGTCAGGTTAGCAACGTATTTAAAATTCTATGATGGGCTACCTCATTGTCAAAGTGACATTTATGACAGCTGCCATCTTTCCAACCAATTAACACGTTTGTCAGATGTATCTATGTCAAAATTGATAACTGTGAACTGACATACTAGCACGGATGCCAATAATTCACAATTGGCACACTAAAATTAACCTCGATCAAAAGGAACCTTATTTCGATCATTAGTATTCACCCGGTATAATAAAAGATGTTTTTAGTGACTTTAATTTTTTGAATATAATAACGCAGAACTTCTGAAAGAACTTTTAGAAAGTCTGATGGACTGTTTTTTCGTCTGGTTAAATTTCGCGGCCAGAAAATCTTGGCCTTCATTTTCGGTCATTTTAAAAATTTCTAAATAGTCTATTGTGATAACCCAAACATCCCGCCGTAAATTGACATGTGAACAAAATTTTAAAAGTGCGCGAAAATTTTAAAAATTCAAAATTTTGGCCTTGGCTGTGATCGTCTAACAAAATGAAACCCTATATTGTGTTTGTTTTTTTTTTTTTTTGTGGCGGAATGCATTTAGATGCAAGTGATGGACCCCAAGGTTGGAAAAGTACCGCTAAATAAAACACAAAATATATGGAGGACACAAAATCATTTATTCCTCCACTGACAAAAAAAAAAGAAAAAAGAAGCTGCGACTAAGTTGTGCCAGTTGAAGACCTTCTTAGTTCTCAGTTACAACAAAAAGTTGCCTAACTTTGAATGAAATCAAATTAAACCTTCTGAAAAAATGTAAATATCTGAATATCACAAATTTAATAAAAACAAAGAAAAATCTTAATTAAAGTAAGTGGATACAAGTACACAAGTTATAAAATTATGGCAGTCAACAAGAGAACAAAATCCTAATAAAAAAACTCTGCAGCGGGGCGTAAGCGGCACCAGAGCGCCTTCTCGTGAGTTCTTATGACTCCAAAAGTTGGGGGGGCACCCGGATCATTATCAGAGTGTGGCGATCGACCTATATCAATTTCATTCTAGAGCACAGCAAAATTACCCGTAGGGGGCGTTGTAGCACGAGCGGAGTTTGGGGTTCCTGGTTGTGGCTGTTCTCCCACCACGACAGTGATTCCACTCTATCTGACGTTGAAGTTTAAAAAATGTATGACGTCACAACCAGTGTCGGGATGCGCGCTATATCAAAAATTAACAAAACTAAAGAAAATAAGGTTATAATGTGGTTACAATACGTCATATATCTAAAATTTAATACTACTATATTCCTAACTAGCCTCAAAAGAGTCGAAAACACAACGGCATAGTAATATATCGGACCTCTCTGTCTCTCTGTGGTACCAAACAGCACTGCGCATACACTCGTACTTGCTTGATCTATAGTCGATAGTGTGACTCACAGAACTTATAGCGTGCCTGGATGCATTTTGACATTTCGTACTTTCGCTTCAATTTTGTGTACATGCGCACAAACCCTCGGTACTCTTGTAAACAGAAAACAATATCTTCTGTCTCTCTCTGTCCGTGAACACCGTTTCTATGTTACTTCTGAAGAGTTAGGAATATAGTAGTATTAGATATATGCAATACTTTAAGCTGTTTCACACTTTGTGAGAGTAGAATGACATTGACGTCTAAGATTTTCTGGCCGCGAATGTATTTGTTATTATTTACATAATATTCGAACATCGTTCATTTCTTGCGACACAATAGTATAAGTAGTACATATAACATAAAAAATCTTAAATAAAAATATAAAGCATTTTATTTTCAAACGTCATATAACTGACACTTATATGACGCTCTTACCGGGGTTTAAGTGTCATTTCTATGACACCGTGTTTGAGCGGCGTATAAATAAAACATTTATACTCCGCCGGAGTATACTTAAATATGTGAAAATCATAGTGGTTGTCAACCATAGTAACATTGTAAGTGAAATCAAGGCAAATCCTTGATGAAGCAAGAAGATAGGAAATAATCATTGCAAAAGAAAATTAATCGTTTGAAAATAAAGTATTGTATTTCATTCGGAATTTAAGTGACTTCATGTGACTCGTATGAACTTAATTCGCCTCGCTATCGCTCGGCGTTTAATCGTCCATACTCGACACGTAAAGTATCACTTAAACTCCTAATAAAATAAATATCTATTACATTGCATTTTAGATCGGAGTAATTATTTGAAAATTCCTAATCAATTTGATGCTTCTCAGAATTGGATCACTTTGATTTTATAAAAATCTTCAGGCAAAGAATCCTTGGAGATGTATTGTAGGTTGCATAAACACAATTATTAAAACCACAGTATAGATATCAATTGATATTTATACTGTGATTAAAACCATGGAGGTATAATATCCTATCTCCATGATTAAAACGGACCTGAATCGTCTGCAGACTAGAGAAGAGTACTAACTATATTATTTATAATTAATTATTTGTAGACAATAAACTTATGGTGCAGTACTTTGGACTAAAAAAATGCATGCCACAAATTCATGCACAATGTGTTATATTAATCTTATAGATATTTTCTTTTCAAGTGAAGAATTTGTTATGAATTTATTTTCTTTCCGAAAATATATATTAATGTCAAAATTAACAAGCCATTTTGCATTAGCAATAGCAGAACCCTAAAAAATTGGTCTAAAGAGTTTAGACAGTACTTCCCTCGCTGTCGGAAACGTGACGACTCCTTGCATATTATGTTTTTTTTAGCATTACATTTTTGTAGTGGGGCATTTTAAAATAAATTGAGTATTAATATTTTCAATTTCGTCATTGGCATTGACATCTTTGTAATTTTTTTATGATTGCTATGATTGTCTATGATAACAGGCACAGCCTGTATAGTACTTGTAATTTAAGACAAATACGTCTGCAAGATTTCAAAGTATCCAGTTTTGCAATTCTTGATTTAATCAATAAAATTACCTGATTCAGGCATTATTTTTTTCAGGCACCCCGTATAAGCAAATCTAAAAAATATTAATGCAGTCAAATCACCAGCATAGACTCATCATTTTTTACACATTTAAGATAGCCTTTTTTCAGCTAAATTTTGCTGCGGCGTCATCAAATTTTTAGGGGAGATGAGCAAATACATTTTGATCAAAATTTTACCAAAATTATAAACTTAAAACATCTCCAAGATTTCAAAGCATTCGATTTAGTAGTTCCTGATTAAATCAATAAAACAATTTCACGCATTAATTAATTTTTTTGGGTCACCCTGTATATGCAAATCTAAAAAATATGAATGGAACGATAAATCACAAGTACAAACTCATCATATTTTGTACATTTTAGATAGGATTTATTCGGCAAACTTTTGAGCTGACGTCATCAATTTTTTGGAAGGGATAAGTAAATATATTTTGATTACAAAGTTTATCATGTTTATCGTAACTGTAAACCATCTGCAAGATTTCAAAGTATTCGGTTTTGCAGATTCAAAATTAAATTGCAAACTGTTATTTCATGATTTTGATTTTTTTTCCAAAAATCTGGACGTTTCGGGTAAAAACTCAATTCGGAGTCGTAAACTACATGTGTAGGACTATGTTATTTTATACAATTTAAAACCCATTTACTATGTACAATTTTGAAGTGACGTCATCGTATTAGTGGTGATTAGACAAATTTTGGTTAGCATTTTACCATCCACATGATATTTCTAATGTAAGTACAAAATTTCACAACAATCGGTCCAGTATTTTCGGAGATTATCTGTCTAATAAAAATCCGGGACGGCAGACAGACGGACAGACAGACGGAAATGGGAGACCTATTTCTTCGTCTTCTAGGGGTCATGAAAGATCGAGAAAACGTAAAAGTAGAGAATCGGCCGAGGGACTCGATTACAATACTTTGCTTACGCTCGGGAAGTAAAAAGACATTTAATCGTTTTACATTATAGAAATGTGTAACATTCTAATCTGTTGTATTATTTTTATTTTACATGTAATTTTTTTCTTTTTAACAAATTTATATTAGAAACAAATTTTTCTAGTGTAAATTTTTGGGTACCGTTGCGTTCTTCCATTTTTTTTTTATTCGCAAAAATCAATGAAGGATAAGCCATAATGTTGAATACAGTTTATGCAAAACCTCTTCATCTCTAAAAATGGAGATGATATTATTTTTAGCAAAATACAGAAATCGGACACTTATTTTGGAACAAATGGAGTATTACAAAAAAAAGTTGCGTAAACTAGGCAAAGTAGCACATAGTCCACACTTTATTTTTTGTAATAAGAGCAAAAGTATTATACAATGAAAAGCTAGCCAAAAAACAGTTTATTTTATCTGTAATTTTGCGGTTTTAGAAAGTCTACAAACTTAAAACAACCATTTTCTAATTACATTGACTTTAGTCTCATGAACTGAATGATAACTATTACAGTTTTGTGCTATAGCCCCTAGAAATACAAATAAATATAGAATGTTTTCTGGGGGCTATATTTTATGCGGTAAGTACATCCTTGCCATCTATTCACGATGTCTAGAAGCCTATTAATTCATTTTAATTTTAAGTGCCACCTTTCCATTAAAAGCGAACTAAATCAAAACACTTCCGCGTTTTACCCAGCACTCGAACATTTTATCCACCAAAACTGTATCTATCGCCCACCAGCTGGCGCCATGTGTCCCCCATCGCCTGTCATTTCGTGACCTACTTTCATCAGGAATCTATGCGCATTCCTGCACGTGTGAATCAGGTTTGTGACGTAACGTGACGTTTCCAGACCCGCCTTTGATGCACACGCTTACAACCTTTTTTTCCAACAGAGGACCCGCAGCAGCACACGCCACTGACTGTGTGTGCTTTATATTCATGAATTTTTTTCTGTGATGTTATTTTTCCCGTTTATTATTTAACCGTGGAGATTTATAGA